CTCTTATACTTAAAAAATATAGATTAACTAAGTATTATCTTTAATAATATAAAAAATAAAATCTCTAATAATAAGTATTTCGAAATAGTCAAATAATAATAAAGGTATGCGTTTATAAAGCTTATTAATAATACGAAATTAATTAATTACTTAACGAAAAATAAGCTTAAATAATTATACTAAAAATTTGGGTACCCGTTAATTATAAAGCTATATAACTTTTTAAAATAATTAAGTAATAATAATATCGAAATAGGGGCGCTAGAATAGTTAATAAAAGTATATTACTAATACTAAATAAATACGTAGAGCTTATATAAATTTAAATTTAAATTACGTAATAAGCTTAACTTTAATTAGAAAATCGTTATTAATATTTTTTATTTAAATAATCGGCTAGTTTTATATATAATTAATATAGCTATATTTTTTTAAATAAGGTAATTCTTTCGGAATTTATAAATAAAAATAGTATAAGTAGCCCTATAAAAGGGATAAATTAATATATATTAGGGACCGTTAAATAGTATTAAAACCGATATTAGTACTAGTTTTAAATTAATAAAATTTAGAAAAAATATAACGGCTTATAATATATAGCTAAAAGTCGTACTTATTAAAGCGTATTATAATATTAAAAAAGTAAAAAGGGTATATTAATAACTAAAAAGGGCGTTTAAAATTATTAAAAAGGAAAATCCTAATTTTACTAATAATAAATATTTTTAAATAATACTTAAATACTATAATAATATTATAGGGCCTAACGGGCTTATATTAACGTTATTAATATTTAGAGTATATTTAAAAACGACCTTAGTCTCGCTATTATTATTAAATATAAGTTAACGAGCCTAAGTAGTTAAAAAAGTAATACGAGTACTACGTAAAATAAATATAAAAAAATAAGTTAACGAGGTAATTATTACATATAATAGGCCCAATATAAGGGGTAATTTAAATATATTATTAAATTTAGATATATAAATATAGCGCGAAATTACTTAATAATAGGCTAGGCTATATAAGTTAATTTTTATTAACGAGCGCTTTTATATAGTTATAAGAAATCGTAACTAGCTATTTATAATATTAATTATAATAGTTAAATTATATTATATAAATCTTAAAGAAGTAATTTCTAACTTATAAAAAAAAAAGAGCTAAGGGAAACTATATAACCCATAATAAAGGTATAGGAAATTATCCTTAATAAAATCGTTATAATAGTATTAATAAATAATAAAGAAAAGGAAATTATTAAAAGGGTACTAATATTACTAATAAGACGTTATAAAAGGCTATAATAGTAAGCCTTAACGTAGTAATTTATTATTAATAACGAGGTAATTAATATTTTTTATATAATAAAAAAGAAAGCCGATTTTGAGCTAGTAATTAAATTACATAAAGAAGACGTAATTATAATTATTAAAAAGCCGTATAAAGGATTAGATCTTATTAAAATAAATACTCTTTATAATTAAAGGGTCTATTAATTTATCCTCTATAACTTAAAAAAGTATATAAATTTTTATATATTTAAATTATAAATAGTTTATAAGATTAAAAAGAAAGGAATACCCTAGCTATATAAAAAATCTAAATACGTAATTTAGGGGTATAGTAACGTTAAAAAAGCGACGCTATTTATATAATTATTTACTATATAGCGCTATAATTAATAATTAATAATAATATTAATAATATTATTATAAAAAAAGGGATATGAGATTTAGAGCTATAATATTACCTAGGCCTATACCTAATCGGTTATAGGACTTATAAAAAAAATCCTAGCCTATTTACTAAAAGAAATAGTTAGTAAGTACTTAGAAAGTACGATTATTAAAGTACTTAAGCTACTATATAGGCTCGTAAAATCGGGTACTTATTAATAAGCTATTTATTACGATTTTTATATTAATTAATTATTAATAATTATTTCTATATACGACTTATACTTATTAGTTTTTAAATATAAAAGTAATTAATTTAGGATTATTAAAATATAAACTAACGATATATTAAGCTTATTTAATATTAATTTTATAAAAAAGGAGGATAAAGAGCTTTAAAAAGTAGGCTTCGTAGCGAAACTAAAAAAGGTCTTTATAATAAATACCCCCTTAGTATTTAATAATAGGATTCTTATAATTAAAAGGGAAATTATTATTTTTTAATAAAAGGGGTAGGGTAAGAAAATTAACTTTATTAATCTAAACGTAACTAATATTAAAAAGTAATATAAAACTAAGCTCGCGCGAGGGGTATATATTATAAATATTTATTAACCTAAAGTAATTTTTAATTATACTAAGGTAATATAAACTATAAATCTAATTAAATAAAACGTTAAAGTATTTAATAAGTAGCTAAAATAGTAATAAAAAAATCTCGATTAAGGCCTCGTTTATTACTTAATTAACCTTATAATTAATAAGCTCTACGTCTTTATTAATAAGTTATTTATAAATAATAATAATTTTATTTTATAATTAAGGTATATTATTATCTTAGTTAATAAGAGTATAAATAAGAGCAAATTTATTATATATAATAATATAATTTATTACTCGTTAATTAAAAATAAATAAGTAATAAAAAGTATATTAATATTAGAGGTTTATAATATAATTAACGGTATTAACTTCTCTTACGTAATTTTAATAATACTAAAAAAAATTATTAATTAACTTAGCTTTTTACTTATTTTAACGGTTATTTATACTAATTCTTACTTATTATATAAATACTTTATTAAATTAAGAACGATAAAAAAAAAGGTTTATAATTAATATTATAGCCCTTAAGTAATTATATAAAAAGCGTAAAATACTTAAGATTTATTAAGTTAATAATAAAAATAATTTCGTAAACGCTTTTATAAAAGTAGTACTAAATAAAGGATTAAAATAATTCGTAAGTAATAAAAAAGTTATTATATAAATAAAAAAATAGGTTATATAAAAAGAATAAAAAAAAAGGGGAAAGGGAGATAACTTAGTAAACGGGCCCGAGGTCGAATTATATTTCTAATTATAATAATAAAATTAATAAAAAAAAGAAAAAGTTAATATCGGATTAAAAGTCTAATTTAACTATAGTATATAGCTAATTACGTAGGGGCTAATTAGGGACCCTATTTATAATTATTATAACTAACTTAACTTATAATTAAAACCTCTTTTTTATACTTACTATATAGATATTTATATAATTTAATTAATCTCTTCGTTAACTACGGTTCGAACTAACTACTTTATAATAAGGATATTAATAAAAATCGTCTATATATAAAACAATATGCGCGCGAATAACCGAAATGAGAACGATAGTGCTGCTCACCTTTTAACTTCAATCAATACTCAGCAGTCGACTATCTTACATCACCTTAAAAGCAGAACACTTGCAAAAAGCACATTAGTGGTTTGCTGCATTTCGATAGATTTTTCAAGTAAGATGTACGGATTTAAGAGAGAAATTGAGACGTAAATACGCCAGACGGAGCGCTGTGAAAGGCCGCCAACTCAGATATTTGTAGGGGATGGGTTCAAGAGTGTGGTTGACTGGTTTCAGAGCCCCTTCCTCGTATAACACTAGCAGTCCGCGTATTCAGGTTTGGCCCCTGTAGTACCACTCAGTGAGGTGCCTCCTGGCAAGCTGGCACAGGATCGAAGCTTCGCCGGATTGTAACCCTAATTCCGACAGCTGGGGTCATATAACAGACAAATAAGGTACAAACCCTTCAATCCCATTCGCTGTCGTTTTGCAGCTTCTGCCTTGGACAGAGAACGGGATTCAAAAGAGCGGGCTCTTGTAAGAGCCCGCGCTGCGGCAGGATCCGCGTCTTACTTCGGGGATGAGAATGGGAATGCCAATCTTAAAGTGTTGATTTCCCCGCAGGGGCCTGGCCGGCGGGAGCGCCACCTTCCGGCGAGAGTTATGCATGCTCCGGTTGACTTATGCAACTCCGGGCCCGAATGACCTATCCCGAAGACTAAGGGGACAAACAGCGTGAATTCTTTGGGAAAAACATGCATACTATTTCGAATACGGTCAAAGACTGATGGCGCTTTCCATGTGCCACAACATACTAATAAGGAGAGAGCCCGACGCGGTCGTGCGACTGTCCCATTTTGAGGCATCATGGGCATTTAAGCACTTGTTAGCTTGCGTTCCACGCTCAAGTCGTAATCCGCCATACACGTGGCTCTACTAGCTCAGCACGACAATTCAAGTTATTGATGTCTATCTCTGTGCTCCTTGACGATACGGACATAGGGACTCAGATGTCGAGGCTACCATCCCCCCGGATTTAGGGAGTGAAATAATCACCGGTGGTCTAGGCAGTTCCCAGTAACCCAAGCTTGGTCGTCTAATATTTTGACAGAAGTGCTCGGTCTCCTGACAGCAATCAGGCTGGAATGACACCGACACGTTGGTAAGCCACAGTTGGAACGAGAAAGCGAGGAAAATTCTGCGCCAGAACGAGCCATCAGTACGCAATGCCCCGTGTCCTGACATGTCAGTGCCGCCTCTGTTCATCAAATGGTTCCAGGCCGTCTAATGTTGAAGGAGGTATGATCCCTGCGCCCATCAGTGTCGTCCAATCGCTGAGAGGCTCGCGATCGCATTATCAGTGAATCTCGCTTTCGGATTCTTAATTCGTGGTGTGCTGATGGAGAAACCAACGAACTAGTGCGGCGCATGGTCCAGCCATGGCACAACTTTGTGCAATCGGACCTGAACCCCTTCTCGAAGACCCGGGGTTGCTATGCGATTCTAGGTCTCCCGCAACGAATATAATGTAACCTTCTTCCCGTTGATTTTTTCAGCTTTATCCTTGAGGCTCAAGCCAAGAAGTTCGTGTTTCTACATACAAATAACGACCACGCCGAACCATTCTCCCGGAAACCTACACACAGCAAACGACTTACACGATCGGTTTAGACGTGCTACCAACACACAGGCGTAGCACCGGAAAATCAAAGCACACCATGGCGGATCTCAAGTCTTCGGACTCTGCCCAAAGAGAAGTGGATGTTGAGAAAGGAATCAGCCCCAACGCCTCGGATCTCGAAGGCGCAACCATCAGACCCGAGTCTCGCCAGGAGCCAGAAGAAAACACACAAGATGCCGACAAGGAAGCACACCACGACCCGAACGTCGTCGATTGGGACGGACCTGACGATCCTGAAAACCCTCAAAACTGGCCCATGAAGCAAAAGTGGTTGAATATCGCTACCATTTCGATGTTAACCTTTGTCACGTAAGTTCTACCTCTAAGGTACCCCAGAACCCAAAGACGAAGCCCATCAGCTAACCTCAACAGACCACTTGTAAGCTGGCTTGAAACGCATTTATAAGCTGACTGAAAGCTGACATTCTCCCCAGGGATCCTCTATGTTCGCCCCCGGTATTCCCAAAATCATGGTTGAATTTCACGAGACCTCGGCCACGGTAGCAACATTCGTCGTCTCAGTTTACATCCTCGGCTTTGCCTTTGGCCCCCTCATTATCGCTCCGATGAGTGAGGTCTTTGGTCGCGCACGGCTTTACATCTACGGCAACATTCTCTTCACCATCTTCACCGTCGGCACGGCCCTCTCGCAAAACATGGCCATGATGATGGCGTTCCGTTTCCTTATGGGTTTGGCTGGTGCGGTGCCAGTCACCATCGGAAGTGGCAGTATTGCAGATATCATGCCAATTGAGCAGAGAGGTCGAGCCATGTCCGCTTGGGCCTTAGGACCCCTTCTCGGCCCTTGTATTGGTCCCGTCGCCGGAGGCTACTTGATCAAGGCTGCTGGATGGAGGTGGGTGTACTGGCTTGTGACTATTGTGGTATGTATTCCTCCGAGAGATTTGAAAGCTAAGCAGTGCACGAAATCTGACCAAGCTGTAGGGTGGTATCTTCATTCCTCTTTCTTGGTTCATGATGAAGGAGACCTTCGCCCCTCTCATTCTTGAACGCAAGGTAGCCAGGCTCCGCAAGGAAACTGGCAACACGAACCTCAGAAGCAAGCTCGATGATGGCCAAACCACGAAGCACAAGTTCCAGCACGCCATCGTCCGACCTATAAAGCTCCTCTTCGTCACACCGATCGTCACTCTCATGGCTCTCTACGTCGCCATCACATATGGTATCCTCTACCTCCTCATCACAACCTTCTCCTTCGTCTACAGAGATCAATACGGCTTCGATGAGGGAACCATCGGTCTCACTTTCCTTCCTGCCGGTATCGGTATGATGATTGGTGTCGGCACCTTCGGTGCGCTCACCGATTTCATCGTCATCAGGAATAAGAAGAAGGGGCTCGTTCACAGACCCGAGGCCCGTCTTACTCCGGTTTTGACCATGCCTTGCGGTGTGGTTCTCCCAATCGGTCTCTTCATCTATGGATGGACAACTGATAAGGGTGTTCACTTTATCGTTCCCATGCTTGGAGTTGTCATTTTCGCCATTGGACTTATGGGTGTGATGGTAAGTCCCCAATGCGTATCGAATGGAAGGGTGTTGGCTGACATGAGGAACAGATGTGCATTCAGAACTACCTCCTCGACACATACCCCCGATATGCAGCTTCTGTCACTGCCGCGCTGGCTGTTCTTCGATCTTTAGCCGGGGCGCTCCTTCCTCTTGGAGGCTTAGAAATGTACAACGCCCTCGGGCTCGGATGGGGTAACAGTTTGCTAGCGTTCATCTCGGTCGCACTCATCCCCATTCCTCTCGTCTTTTACATGTTCGGCGAGCGGATCAGAGGCAGATTTAAGCCTAGTCTGTAAAATTTCTGGAATTATTCGGGAAGATTATTTGTTACTTTTGAAGCATGGCGTAAGGGTTTAGCATTCTATGGCATACTAAAAGGTGCCATCCTACATGGGGTGATGATCACAAAGCATTAGACGCATATCTTATATAGTTGAGACACGTAATATACTGAGAGACTTTACTTGGCAACTGGGTACATAAAATCGAATGCCCCGTAAATATTTGTGCTACCAAGCTCATAACTTAGGTGGCCGTTGCCGCTTTACCCGGACTGACTATGAGCCACGGAAAAGACGATGTAGCTTGGCGGTGGTGGTGCTAGTAGTCTCACAGTCCATGTGTAAGCGGTTGTACTCATCAAAAGAACAAGCGCGCACCATCAAAATTGGCCCTCAAGGTCAAGATACTGGTCCGCATAGAGAGCCGAATGAAACGTGGTGCGCTACGCAAGAGCTACGATCAGTAACAAAGAAGTAGCGCATGCCATTTCACAGTCTTCGGGTATTGACGAGGAATAGACCGAAGAGAATCCAAATAGTTGGTGCTTGCCTCGATCGACGGCGTACGGATGGCGTCCCCGAAGCCGCATGCGGGTTAGGATTGCAGTTACGCGGCAGTTTGCGGCGGCCACATCAGTCCAAGACACATCCGCCACCAAATGCGGCCAGCCCGATACATAGCAGCGACTCAACCGCACCGGTCCTCAAGTTGGGGGGTTCGGTTCAGGAAAAGTGACGCCGATCTCCTCTTTCTTCTTGAATTCTGATTCACGGTTTCCTATATTTCGACAAATACGCAAGCACTCGGGCGCGCGTGTGAGCCTGGAAACTTCACGACGCAGGGGTCTTTCTGGAATGCTATCGGATTCATGAAAACGAATGTGTACGACTCTCTTTACACGGCCTATATCGAGCAAACAAAACCAACAGATCTTGGCAGGTCCTTTACTTCGCTTCGTTTGGTCTCGACCACGGGCTTCAGTATGAGCAACACAACTATACCGTCAGGGGTGGTTGGGCCAGGAGCATTCTTGCCAAGTGATACGAGGCAGCCTTTAGTCATCGGTATTACATCAATGTTCATCGTATTGATTGCCATTTTTATGGCCATTCGGGTTTATATCAGGGGTTACCTCTTGAGAGGATGGCAACTCGACGACTCTGTGTTCATGTGGTCTTCGGTGAGTTCAAGGTTGCCCCGCTATGAAGTCCCCCAAATGACAACTAACACTATCATACAAGATGCTCGTGATTGTCCAAGGAGCCATGGTACTATGCAGTAAGTCAAACCCTCCTGGATTTTCACTATATTTCAGTCAGCAAATAGACTGATCCTGAATTTCTTCATCAGATGTAGTGTATGGTAGTCTTGGGCTGCACCTTTGGAGATCAACATTTGATCAGATACAGCAAAATTCTCGTGTAAGTCAACAGGACACATGATCTACAGTCGGCACCAAACCTGCGAGACTTTGGCTGACGTCGGTCTTAGTACTTGGTTACAACAGTCCTTATGTACCAATTATCTTTCGGTTTCATTAAAGCAACGTTTTTACTGCAGTTCCGCCGAGCATTCGCTCTGCCTCACATAATATTGTTCTGCGACATCTTCCTGGGCATCATGTTCCTAGCACTCATAGGATTGCTCTTCTTCGGCGGAATCGTTATGCGAGATTTTCTGAAGCCGGGGTATGTCCCTTCGCCTGGGGAAAAGGCATACCTGATATTTGGCTACGTCAACGCCGCCGTACATCTCTCGACGGATATCGTCATTTTCATACTGCCGCTGGCACTTGTGGGACAGATGCGCCTTGCAGCAATGCAAAAAGCTGGTCTAATCTCCAGTTTTGGGGTGGGAATCTTGTAAGTAATATAACCTGCCTCTTCAAAGGTCGTCTTCCTGAACAAATTGCAGCACCAGCGCGATCTCCGTGCTGAGAATAGTCAGCCTGCCTCTTGCTACCAGCGGGATCGATGGGTTCTACCAAGCCGTGCCGCTCGTTCTCCTAAGTATGGCCGAGCCAACGTCTGCAGTCATTTGCGCATGTGTGCCGATTATGCGGCCCTTGTTAGCATGCTCGGGAACTTCCAGGTATGGCAGCCAAGGATCGCGAAGACCTCTCTCAGGAGCAACCAACGAATCGACCGGACAAAGACGTCAGACACCGAGTGCGCCTCCTCAATCGCCCACCAGCACGACAAGTCAATCCGTAACGCAAATGACATACAAATCGACTATTACAGGGAGTATAGATGGAGATTTGGAAGGATACACTTCAAGCCAACAGGCCAGGGGTAGCATCAATACATTGAACCCACTGTCCATGCACCCATCATCTCCCACCAAAACGGCACAATTTCCATGAGGAATTGAAGTTTCTTCACCTTTACAGCAGTTAGAACTCCATGATTGATTGCGGCGTCTAAGTTCATACAAAGGCATCAGCACATGGGTTTATGTTCACATTACGATAACGAGAGGCAACAAACTGTCAAATGAGGATACTCCCGAGGGGAGGGGGGGGGGGGGGGGGCCCCCCAAAAGCCCCCGGGAAGGAAGAAACCCAAATTTTTTTTTTGTGTTTTTGACATTTTGGCGGGGAAAAACACAGGAAAGGGGGGCCCCCCCTTGGCGCGGGCGCGGAGGGGGAGGGGGGGGGGTGGGGGGGGGGGGGGACACGCCAAAAGCCTCCGGAATGAAAGACACTCAGATTATCTTGTTGGTCTTTGAACATTTGGCCGTGGAAAACACACGAGAATGGCAGCACCCACTTGAGCGTGCCGTGTAGGGAATCCTGGCAACCCCTTGGAGCGGATATGATTCTTGTCTCCCACCTTGCGAGTCAAGGAAACCAGGTGCTAACGTTTCGTGGTTCACCTGATAAGTCGGAACCCCCAACCAATGACTTGAAGTAAGTTAAGGAAACAAACTTCAACCCCTAGCAGCGGCACAGACATGTTACGGGGCTTCAATGGGAGATTAGGAAAATATAGCAACCGATCACCAGGTGTTAGGTGCGCTATTGGCCTACATCCGAGAATGGAGACAATGCTAAGTTGCGCTTGTCGTACGTGTACTCCGAAGGCTGATGGCTAGGACTTTTGGCAGTGAATACACAATTGCCTCTCAAATCATGATAAGGTATCTTTCGATGAGAAATAGTAGATCTAGGATTTAGAAATCGTAGTAGGGAGATGATTGCTGGATCTCAATACCAAGACCACGTTGTCTGAGTTACTTGAGATAACTAGGAAATCAGTACGAGGGAGTCAACCACATTAGCATCAATGGTAGTATCCTCTGAACCACATACTGAGCTTCAAAAGATCGCATACAAGCTAACTCAATGACGCCTCATAATCCGAATAGAAGCATAAGAATCTATGGCTCTATCTTTCTAAATGTATTTTAGGAAGAGGTCTCCTGCTATGGGCATCCGAACAATACCTGTCGATCAGTGCATTTCCAGACTCTTACAGGGTTGGCTGTAGAGCCTTGAGCCCCATATAACTTGAGCCGACCACTGGCAGAACCTCCAAATAGTGAGCAATATTTCTTTTTCGAATATCCAACCCTGACACCCCCTAGTCTCTTTGGTTGTCCGTAGAACGGTGGATGCTGAACAAGGGAGACGAGCTCAATGTCAAAAGGGGGAGAATGACTGCCCCCGGACAGTATTAGGGCAGTAAGGGGGCGAGGAAATCCCCAGGTGTTGCGAAGTGAACTGCGGACCACTCAGAGAAGGTGAGAAACCAAGTCAGAATGTGAATTGCATCCGGACGGAAATTGTGGTGTCACGGTCCTCGATTCCAAGTCCTCAAACCCGAAAAGAGGGTCTTGAGCAATGGCAAAGCACACACCTGTCAAATGTCACTTCTCCTGTCAAGTTTTCAGGAGGGGTATAACTAGGTTAAACCTCGAATCTCAGACAACATATTGCTTATTTTCTTCCCCAATGCATCACAAACAGCCGGTTGGGCGGGTACGCTCGAGACTACATGGATTCCGCTTGGCAGGTTGTCCACTCAAAGCTCGCGAAAGATGCCCTGTGAAAAAAAGAGGACTTCTGCTGGGAGTGCACACTCTGCGAGAGCATTCAGGTTTGCTTGTCAATTTGATGTCAGCACGGAGCCTCCCCCGTGGCCTGCACCACGCCGCCCGGTGGAGTGACACAAGTTTCCAAGGGATGGCCAAGACCCCAGCATACCATTCCGCAGGAATAAAACAGCCCAAATTCCCGGATACTGAGTTTTGGTCCTGCCGTGGCTTGTGCTTCTCTACTATTCTTGACCTCCCTTTTCCACCAGTAACCTCTTTGTGATCGGCCTTGAAGGCTTGGTCGTCATTGGGTGTGTCGATGGCCTCTTCCGAACCCAGGTACATGGCCGAGCCGCCAGATGGTCAAGGACGATTCGATGCGGGCACTATTACAGCCGGGGCGTTGATACTGGGTGGAACGCTGACTTCGCTATCCATCATATTTGTCGGTCTGCGAGCCTTCACAAGGCTATCCCTGGTGAGAAGAGGCCTTGGTCCCGATGACTGTGAGTATTCTCCTAACATATATTTGTGAACTCTATTCTAATGAGCCCTTATCCAGATCTCATCGGCATCTCGCTAGTTCTGGCCATAATCTTCTATGGACTATCCGTCAAATGTGAGACTATTCCGACCACTTCCTATGGAGGGCGCCTCTAATTCCAGAAGTGTGCGAGCTCGGCGTGGGCACCCATCTTTGGCAAGTCGAGCGAGCTGACTATTCACCTTCATTCCTGCTTGTAAGTTAAAACCCTCTCTTGAGGTTGTCAGATGAACTTCAGCATTTGTTCTTTCCACGGACGCACCCGATTGACAAAACGATCTAGCACAGCATCATTGCGATAGCCGTCTACTCATTAAGTGTAACTACTGCGAAGTTGTCACTCCTCGTTTTGTACTTGCGTCTATCACCCGAAAGATGGTTCAGAATTATTACAATGACCCTCATTGGCTTCGCCTCTTCGTACGCACTGGCATACCTCTTTCTCATCGTTCTCAGCTGCAGGCCAATCCAGGCTTCATGGGATCTCTCGGCTAGAGAGGGAGCGATATGCATCGACAAAAACACCGTCTATTTGGTGCTCAGTGCTACCAACATCATCATGGATGTCGTGTGCCTTATTCTTCCTCTGAAGATCATCATCCCCCTGCAGATGGCAGCCCGACAAAAGCTGTCGTTGATTCTGCTATTTGCAACAGGGGGCTTGTAAGCGACTTCTCACGCGAAGGTGCACAATCGCATGCTGACGTCTCTGCAGTGTCTGTCTATGTGCCATCAGACGTACAATCCTCCTACCGCCGCTCTTCAAAAGTAAGGATTACACTTTTGACATTGACAGGCAGTTGAACTGGGCATCCATCGAAGTCAACGCTGGAATTGTGTGTGCCTCCGTCCCGGCACTCAAGCCTTTCTTCGTGCGCTATCTGCCAATGTTCGTGACTTCCCACGTCGCCGCACGCGGCTCCAAGACGAAGAAGACAACGCCAGATTATCAAAAGTACCAACGCTCAAATCCCTACTCTACCACAATTGAAGCCAACAAGAAGAGGCGCAACGTTCAGTCAGAGGCATACGAGCTGCATTCGCGTGATGATTTGTCGCTATCCTCGAATGACATGCCGAAAAATGGGTCAAGAGAGGATGTTGCGAAGCTTTGGTCCGGAAATGCTTTTCGCAAACAAAGCAGAAATCGCCGCGAGAACATCATCGAGTCGAACCCAAGGGACCCAGATCATCGTGCCTCAACCCTTGTCGACCAGGTACAGCCGGTGGGAGAACATGACTCAAAAGAAGACCCTCCACAGAGAGTGGCGAGCATGAGCGGTATCAGAGTCACAACAGAGACACGGGTCGAGTATGAGGTGCCATGGCCGGATCATCGCAGTCTCAGGGGATGATATTTTCACGCTGTTCTATTGTTTGTTGAGCGTACTTTGGACACGTTCGATTTTTAGATTAGCAATACAGACTGCACGCTGTCTTCAAGCACCAAGTCTCCCAACTTCGAGGTAGAAGGTTTCCTTGCTCACCATGCAGCCTCCAGGTGCATAATATCTCTAAGGTCTTTCACCTCCGTGCCAGGCCTAGTAGCGACAGGCTTCGACTTTCTATTGCCATACTTCCATTCCTCTTTTAGTCCCCTTTCTTTGCCCTCCAAGGCATCTGCAATGTAGTCGCCGATGATGGGAAACATCTTGAAAGCATGACCAGAGTCTCCAGTCGCCAGAAGTAGTGATGGATGTTTCGGATGATTGTCGATGAGCCAGTGAGAGTCCGGAGAGTCGGTGCACCAGCAGACTCGCGCACCCAGCAGCGGTCGACCAGAGAACTGTGGCATGACTGTATCAATAAACTTCCTGATTGCTGTAGCTGCTTCATCGGGGATTCCGTCTTTGGGGTGTGCACTCGCGTATCGAGGGACTGAGTAGTGCTCTACCTTACCCGAGGGATCGGTGTACGTGCCGATTCGGTACTGGTAACCTGGGGATCCGTCACAGATCTTCATCCACTCTCCAAGCAATGTCAGTAAACAGATCCTTGTCTCTCATTGTCGTATAAACCTACTGGTTTCTGTGTCTGGTTCGAATGTGAAGCCCAGCTCAAAGTTGTCCACGACGGGAATCCCCTTCCACTGGGCAACCTCCTCATCATTCAGCTCGATATGAGCCAAAGACCAGCACTTTGTCCACATCTCCTGAGACAACTCAGGTAGAACTTCAGGTGATGCAGCCCCTGTACAGAGGATATACCTGTCCCCACGCACAACATCGCCGGACGCAACCTTGATCCCGTCAAGCTTGCCCGAAGTATCGAGGCTCAGCCCAGTCATCGTGCCTTTAGGTCCTGATATGAATTCAACACCCATATCCTGTGCTGCTTTACCCCATTTCTCTAAAGACTTCTTGGCATGGGCCCAGCCACCTTGGCTGTTCCAAAGGCCCTTCCAGTTTTCGATACCGTCTGCATCACGGAGCTGCGGAACGTGTGTGGCAATTTGCTCTTTGCCCGCCACCAGCTCGAGACTATCAGCCTGTCCAGCCTTCTTGAGATTCTCATACGACTCTTTGAGGTGTTTCTCTGCTAGTGGGTCCCCTAGAGTTGTCACGATGCGTCCCTATGAGGTTATCAGGGGCTGAAATATGCGATAATGATTGTGGGAAACGTCGACCAACCGTCTCATGAAAGATTCCTTCCCATTCTAAACCTCTCCAAGCATTGAGTGCCTCAAGCGCTAGTTCAGTGTACAGCGGCTCATCATATTCCGTTCTGATGATCTTGTTCAGGTCATACCCTGCAGAATCGAGACTTGGTATGGGATGACGATCGAGACACCTGATATTGTTGTAGCCACGCTTGGCAAGATGATATGCGGTGCTGATGCCAAAGGTACCCCTGATCAGGTCTGATCAGTAATGCCCAGATCTGGTATGGTTATGTTAGACTTACGCGCCCAGAATGACAATGCTCGAGGTCTTTGAAAGAGGCGGGGTATTGACGGTCATGGCTGACGAATGACTACCATTATCTTTGTGCAAGGGAGCAGACTTCGAATACAAACTATCACTACTTCAAAGATGAAATATGTCTGAGAGAGTTTCCGTATCTCGGTGAGATATGTAGTCCTCAAGTCGGTACAAACACGCCGAGACTACATGAACTCTATGACAGAGGATCGACTTGGTCAAAACATGGGCATCTAATTGGCTCATTGTTTTTCCCCTCGTCCTGCACAGTTACCAACTAGGCCATTATTGGGGCGCCAGGCCGCTAGAGCGCACGTCCAAACAAGTGATCTCAGGGGTCTCTGCCGGCTTGGACCTTCCCTTCCGCCTCACCATTTCCATCTTCGACGCCCTCCCCCGCCTCATCAACCTCGGAGATGTAACATCGGAACCCTGGAAATGTCAACAAGCTTTTACGACTCCGCATTACTCGTGCATTTTACCATCTCTCAACGAAAACAATGGCTAGAAACTAGCCACTGATCCCGTCGCGGCAGCACAGGCCAGATAGCTTGGACCTTCCACAGTATTGCCTCCCCTGCTCCGCTGTAGGTAGTGTACCATGGGGAAACACCAGCGTAAAGCCTATCTTGACTGCGGGGTCTGAAGATCGGGTCAAGATGGACTGAGTGCAACGGATGGGTCCACCAGTTCCAAGGAAGGTCGATACCGAGTAGTTCGTTCCGAATGAGGTTTATACTCGGCTCGACGGCAAATAGTATATAACGACTTATGTAAAGTTTTCGTTCCACATCAGTAGCATCGATCAGACCAGTTCAACGATCCACTCGTTTATATCAACATTCTCCGGCCCAAGATTCGGCCACCATGTCTAGCACAACAGACCAGCACGGCGAAAAGACGGCCGTGGCCTCTCCAGGGCCGCAGTTGCATCCCGACGAGGAGGCTCGCGATGCCGAAAACCTAGACAAGGCGATGGCCTACGCCATTGACGAGATTGAGGAGCACTTTGACATCGAGTCCGACAACTCGCCGTACCCTGAAGTCCGCGCTAACGTGCCTAACACGGACGACCCGTCCATGCCCGTCAACACGCTCCGCATGTGGGTTCTCGGCGTCCTCTTCACCATGGTCGGCTCCGGTATCAACCAGTTCTTCTCTATGAGGTACCCGGGCGTCACCATCTCGTCTCTGGTGGCACAACTCATCGCCTACCCCGTCGGATGCGCTGTGGCCCGTATCCTGCCAGTGAAGAAGGTGCGAGTCTTCGGCCGCTGGGACCTGGTGATCAATCCGGACCACTACTTCAACATCAAGGAGCACGCGGTCATCACCATCATGTCCAACCTATCTTTTGGACCATCGTGGGCTACTGACATCATTCAAGCGCAGAAAGCGTCGGCGTTCTACGGGCTCGATACACCGGTCGCGTACCAATTCCTGCTAGGCCTCTCGATGCAGCTATTCGGTCTTGGTATGGCTGGACTGGCGTATCGCTTCATCGTAGAGCCTCCTCACATGATCTGGCCATCGACACTGGCCAACGCTGCGCTGTTTCAGACACTTCATGGCCGGGCGAACCCTTTCGCAGACGGTTGGAGGATCACAAGATATCGGTTCTTTCTTTATGTCTTTGTCGGGGGGTTCTTCTGGTACTGGCTTCCGGGGTATCTGTTTACTGGTCTGAGCACCTTTGCATTTGTCTGCTGGGCTGCTCCGAGTAGGTCGAATACCTGTATGATGTTTATTCAGTTCCACTGACAAGGCACAGACAACGTTGTAGTCAACAATCTATTCGGCATGTCGACGGGCCTAGCCTATCTACCCATTACCTTTGACTGGTCTCAGATCGCCTATAACGGATCGCCTTTGGTCGTTCCGTTCTGGGCGCAAGCTAATGTCTTTGCTGGATGGGTCATCCTCTTTGCTCTCGTAACACCGATTCTATACTACACCAATACGTGGTATACCGCATTCCTCCCCTTCTCAGGCGCAGATACCTACGACAATACTGGCAAGATCTACAATGCTACCCGCGTAGTAGGCAAAGATGGCAATTTTATCGTGGAGGAGTACGAGAAATACAGCCCCCTCTTCATGCCCGTCACCTTCGCACTCAGCTATGGCATATCGTTTGCGACAATGACCTGCGTGCCGACGTACATCTTCATTAATTACTACAAAGACATCATCGGCGCATTTAAACCGAGCAGGAAGAAGGATATCCACACCCGCCTGATCGAGAGATACCAAGACACACCATGGTGGTGGTACGGCATTATGACGGCCGCCGTGCTGGTGTTGACAATCATCGTGCAAGAGGTCTACAAAACCCAAATGCCTGTCTGGGGCGTTTTCGTGGCCTTTGGATTAGCTCTGATCTACCTGATCCCGACCGGCAGCGTCTACGCCGTCGCAAACCTCAACAGCAACGTACTCACGGTCCTGGGCGAAATCATCTCGGGATACGCCATACCGGGAAAGCCTATCGTCATGCTTATTTTCAAGTTCTACGCCTACACGGGTCTAAGCCAGGCCATGATCTTCTCCTCGGACATGAAGCTCGGCCTGTACATGAAGATTCCCCGGAGAACGCTGTTTGTAGCCCAATTGGCGGCTTGTATCACGGGCTCTCTCACGCAAAATGCCGTTCTCTTGTGGATGTTGAACCATGTCAAGGACATTTGCCACGAAAGTCAGCCCAATGGCTACACCTGCCCGCAAGGACGGGTTAACTTCTCTTCGAGCATCGTTTGGGGTGCCATCGGCCCAGCACGGCTATACAGCGTTGGCAAGATATATTCTGGTCTGTTGCATCTCTTCTGGATTGGGGCACTGTTACCCGTGGTGACATTCTTCCTCAAGAAGAGATTCCCAGAAAATAAGTTCCTGAGATACCTTCACTGGCCTCTCTTCTTTGCAGGAACGGGCAACGTTCCTCCCGCCACAGGGATCAACTACACCTCGGCTTTTGTCGTCTCCTTCATCTTTAATAAGTGGCTCAAGGGCAAATTCCCTCAATGGTGGGCAAAGGTGAGTTCAAATGCAACGACTTGCATCCCGAATTTAGGTGACTAGTTCTCATACTGACTCGGTAACGACAGTACAACTACGTCCTATCTGCCGCTCTCGACTCTGGCCTAGCCATATCCGCCATCGTCATCTTCTTTGCTCTCGTTTTCCCCGGTGTCCAGCTAAGCTGGTGGGGTAATAATGTTCAGCGTTCGACCATCGACGGCCAAGGCGTTCCCTTGAAGGCTGTGCCGTCAAATGGCACATTTGGCCCAGCAACCTGGTCTTAGCCAGGTAATTTTCTGATATCCATCATCCGTCTGAATGATTCCCTGTAACTTTCTGGCACTGATAAGCCATGATTCCCAATAGCAAAACCAAACCAGGTACAAATACTACTACTAATGAACGCATTGCGCCAAATCCAAAACGCTCGCATGTCGCCGTTACTCGTAAGCATAATACATCACAGAAACTGGGGTGTACCTCCGCATGAAAGACCGTGAGGACTGCTTTGCAGGTTCGAAGGCAATACCGCCCGAGCTACACAGCTCAAGCCAGACTAATATTATGGCAGAATGGTGCCACGAATCGAGCCCAGTCGTTAAAAGCCTTGGGGCTGGGGGATAGCTGCCGATCCGACGACAAGAACGATGCCGCCTCGCGTTGTTTCCAGACCTTTTCAATCACGGAACGGGTCCGAGTGACATTGCAGAGCGAATCTGCCAACTTGTCGAGAACATAGAGTACAAATGGACGAGCGTAGCGGGGTGAGGTTCTGTCCTCGACATCTCCCTCGGCCCATTCAAGCTCCTCTGTGGGATCGAGTTGGCAGGCTGCCATGAAGAGCGGCCATGTGAGCCCAGCTTTGACATCCGCCTCGAGCAACACCGCGACGAGACGCAAAATCTTCTTCACGTTCTGCCGAATCACAAGCGTCGCGGGAGTTGAGTCGTTGAGAGCAGAGTGAAGGTAGAGCTCTACCGTCAACCGCTTCAACTCGACAGTATTCCTAATGATTTCGTCTGCGCTGTCGCTCTTCAGATGCGACTGCTGGAGCAGACAAGTCAACCTGATCCGCTGGCGCTCAAGATCCTGCCAGCAGTCCTCCGCCGTCGAAGATGACATGCGATGGTACTTGAAGCTGAGCTCCGTAATCTCGCCAATGATACTGACCAGCTGCGGCGAGCAGCCCATCCAGAGATCAAGACCCTCGTCCTCCTGCGCGGACCAAAAGTCGTTACCGAAAATGGGCTCCTCGCCGCACGCAGTTCGTCCCATGACGTCGTAAAAGGCAAAATACCGCTCGGTGAACTTGATGATTCGCTCCCACGGACTCTGCTGCCGCGCCGCCATCTTGGCGGCGTCCGAAGTCATGCCTTGGCGTCTGAACCTGATGAGGTCTCGGGCCCCGCGCAGATGCGTGACCCAGCGCTTGTCGCACTCTGCAATGATTTCAAGCTGGCAGAGCAGCATCATCAGGACGAGAATCTCCGAGTTGGCTGCGATGTCGATGGACGACTTATTTTCGAGGGTTAAGCGCAGCGATCGGATGACTTTGGCTGAGTAGCTTAGAGCTACCGGCTGATATGTGCAGTCTGATCTTGCTCTGTGTGAAGCGGCGAGGCCCAGGAGGGCGTGCATGAGGGCTGGCGAGGCGGATGAGACGGCGAAGGGGAAGATGAGTGCGGAAAAAGGAGATTCGCCTGAAGCACATGGGACTGTCATGGGACAGATTCGATCCAGGTAGTACGATAACAAATGTGATTCGGCCTGGCTGTCGAGTTGAACGTATCTCACCGGCCGGTTGATACAGCCCAAGTTCTTTCTCAGTGTAAGAGCTGCTGATTTGCGCTCATCCGTAGAGCTGTCATCACTGGAGGACGACGAAGACTCTTCCCTCTCAAAGTCGGTGATGAAGGAGTTCAAGAAACCAAAAGAGTGAACGTGGGTAGGGAGACACCAGTAGTTGTCCAGGGTGGAAGGCGGCGTCGCGGATTTCTTCTTGTTATTGCCGCCCGTCCCAGATTTCGACCACACGCCGGCCCTCCCAAAGGCGCGACCAACGTAGTCCGTTTCCCATTTCAGGACCTGGGCGTAGACGCAGTCGGCGTAGCCACGGGAAGTACAGGGCCCACAGTGAGGTTTCGCCTCGTCGCACCGGATCTTGTGTAGACGGCAGCGGTGACAGCCGCGGTGGCTTCGTCTAGATACCTGCTTGGAGGGATCTCGTCTGCGCGGCATTTTTGCCAGAGACTGTAGGAGACTGTGAAGATGTCTCGACAAGTCTAATATGAGCTAAAAAAGAATACAGCAAGATGCCGGTGCTAGCAGTATTGAATAGTGGATTTGGGAGATGGGGCGTGACATGGAACTGCAGGAGAGGATTCCGGGGGACGGATGGGGAGGCCGGGGATGTGAGGGGCCTAGTTGTCGAGTGATGGAGCAAATCGTCGGCTGACTAAACCCCGTTCTTGGAGCCTGACTCCGACTTTTTGATCATCGCCAACATTTGGGTCTCCTAGATAGAGTTCACTGGGATGGCTGGTTCGCTAGTTGAAGGTTTGGGCCAGGGGGGAAGCGCCCCGATCCCCAAGTGTTGGATGCTCATTCTGGGAACTGCCAATCTTGGGTTGACTTGATGTTTGACCATTCACCTCAGACAAAAGCCAAAAGATTAGAGTTGAGCTGTTGCTCTACCTTGTTCTCAAGAATTACGCAACTCAATGCGGAGTGGCACTAGATTGCTACTAGCTATCTGACTCGTTGTAAGAGATACGCGTCCTCGGACTATGAGAGCTGGTGCAAGGCACTAGAGATCAGAGCGGTCAAAAAGGCGTTGATGATGTAGGGTTACCATGAGCAAAGAGGAGTGCACATCAAACGTCGAGTTTACCGAACGTGTGAAGCCTAACTTGTCGTACCTAGCCTGTAATCTGAAGGAACGTTCGACCAAGTCCTCTTCTCTGCGCAGTCGTGACGTTGGCAGCGTCGTCCGATATAAAGCATTCTGAGGGGTAATGCCGGCTCATGTGGGCAGCTTTGAGTTTAGAGCACTTTGCGACAAAGCTTCTCAAAGCGGGATGATATCGGACAACTGAAAATAGGACGGCGTGGACCGTATCAAAGAAGATGGCGGTCACCCTCTGATATTGAATCACAGGGAGCTTCTCCATGTAGGGCGGCTTGGGCGAGCCAGGGACTTCTGAAGCTCTTTTCTGGGCCTCTATTCGTACAAAGAGGGGTTGTGAGAGTCCTTGAGGGGCCATCGCGAGGTCGGCCATGACTCAGGGATCCACGCGCGCCCCTCAAGAGTACTGAACACATCCAATCATTGAACAATCACAACTGGTCGGTTAGCTCAGTTGGTTAGAGCGTGGTACTAATATTTCACCTGAAATGTTGTGTAATGCCAAGGCCGGGAGTTCAAGCCTCCCACTGATCATTTCTTTTGCAGTTTTGACCCAGAGTTGCAGCTGTCTCTCTAAATATGACGAGAGAGCTCTTTTTTCCCTGGTTGGGTGAAGATTCACGCGTTGACGTGGAATTAGATGGCCTGAGCCCTTTCTCATGTTCAGATGCATATAATGCTTATGTCGATTAATTGAGGCTCCTTCTAATATGCCTAAATCGGAGTGCGATAAAGATAAGCGTCATGCAGCATGTCACCCCAGCTTCAATTAGAAGTCAGGGTCTCTCTAAAGCTCCCCCAAGCTTCAAAAACACTAAGCCTCAACTGATATTTATCTTGTCATACACGTCTCCCTAGATCTCGCCCAATTCCCCTCGACACAAAACAATGCCGCCGAGATGACAACCCCGCGCCCTTGGACACCTCCCCTCCTCCTCCGCATCCGCTTCACAACCTCCCTCCCAGACCTCGACCTCGACATCCCCTCCCCTTCTCAAACAACAGTCGCCGCCCTCAAGCACCTCATCCGCGGCCGCCTCGCACAACCCGACTCCCAGCGCCGCCTCCGCTTCATCCACCAAGGCAAGATCCTCCCCGACGCCTCAGCCCTCAGCTCCGTCCTGCGCCCGCTGCCCCCTCCTCCTCCCCCGTCATCCTCGAACCCGACGTCGACGCCGTCCACACCCGGCGCAAGCAGCGGCTTCGATGATCCCAAGGGCAAAGGCAAGGCCAAGGCCAACGAGACGGCGCTGCCGCAGAGGGTCTACGTGAACTGCAGCATCGGCGACAGTCTCACCGACGAAGAACTCGCCGCCGAAGCCGAGGCAGCTCTACGCGCGCCATCGGAGCGGGGTGCGACGACGTCTTCCGGGGCAGGAGACGGTCAGCATGGCGGTCACGGTCACGGTCACGACGGTGTCGCATACGGCTCCCAGGCCCACCACCATCAGCAGCAGCGCCCGACGCCAAGGGGCTTCGACAGGCTCCTCAACGCAGGCTTTACGGCGGCCGAAGTAAACCAGCTGCGCCTCCAGTTTCGCGACATACGCGCGACGCAGTATACCCCCGACACCATGCCCAGCCCGGACACGATGCGCTCGCTCGAGGACACTTGGATAGATACCAACGCCGGCGGCGCGTTACCCGGGAGCGGGACAGGCGCAGGAGGGGACGGAGCCGACGGAGGAGCGGGTGGCGGCGGCGGTGATGATGCGTTTGGGGTCATGAGCGGTATACTCGACGTCCTCATCGAGGGTCTTATTGTAGGCTTCTTCTGGCCATTGGGGTGTCTGGGGTGGCTCTCGCGGGAGGAAAATATGCTCTCTGGCCGGTGGCATGACTTTATCGGGTTCGGTGTGACATTGAGTATCATCATTGGCGTCATCAGGGCCTTCTCGGGCGATCGATAGGGCGAGGCCGTTGTGGGCTTCCAAGTCCTTGTGGACTCATTTTGGGGAGGGGATATGCTTCCGGGTGATTGGTACGATTACGTTACGTTCGGTATGGCATGGTGTTGCATTGTTTGGTGTTGACACGATGGCTTTCTCGGGCGATTAGTAGAGCAATTGCGGTTTTTTCTGTTACGGGGTTTTGGCGTTGGGATAACGTGGATGCTTATTGATTACACATAGGTAACGGCGTTTTATTCGTAATTATACCACGCATCAGGCAAGGATGGCTAGGGAGCATAGTATGAATCACATAGATAGAGACAGCGAACAGAAGGGGGCCATTATCTGCTTCATTGGTGGCCATGGAGAAAGCGACTTTTTAAGGGCCGAAACTCCGAATCCGCACACACAAAGATTCTACATGCGTGGTATAAAACCTCGAATAACCATCAAACGCCATGATATCCCCTGGGGCTACCTAATAACAGCAAAAAAGTACAACGGGCTAAAAAAGAGGGAGCAAAAGGGCCATCTGACAATTGCTAGCATGACAGTACGGAGTACTGTTGCCAGCATCTGAAGACAAACCTTTTTTTAGAGTTTTACAGGTACAAACTCTGGGCCGCGACGATGTCACGGCGGATCTTGGCGAGACTGTCCTCGAACTTTTGTGTAAGCTCGTCACTGCCCATGACCTTGGCGCCCTGGCCCATCTGGCGCAGAAGCTCTTCCAGACGGCGGAAAAGGCGGATAAGGGAACCCTCGTAGGCATTGGTCATTTTACTGTAACGTGTCAGTGGACGTAAGATAGAACGGGGAAATTGGAGGTAACGTACCAGATGTCTGCAAACGGCTTGCCTTGTGCCCACGAGTAGACAGTCTCCATTAATTGCCACTTGAAGCCAGCCAAGTACTCCTCCTCGTTGAGCTCAAGCTTGCTCTCCCGGCTGACCTTGGCGACCTGCTTAGCCTTGGCCTGAACCTCCCGGTAGGGCTTGGCCAATTCCTCGCGCAGGGCTGCTGTCTCAAGCTTCTCGTCCAAGACGAAACAGCTAAGTGTAGCGGCAATAAGCTCGGGAGAGAGCTCATTAAAGAAGCGATCAAACAGAAGCTCGGCAAGGACAAGTTCATGACCTTCGGTGGATGAGATCTCACAGGCGACACGAGCCTTAAGCTCGACAACCTCAGACTCGTTAAGGAATCCGAGACGGCGCAGGACACGCTTGCGCGCCTTGAGCTCATCCATCTGCGCAATGCTGTGGAGTGTTGCAATCTCCTTCTTCTTGGACTTGATCTGCTCGCCGAGTTTCTCCTTGGAGCGATACTGAAGGTAGAGCTCGGGCAGCAGTGGTGATCCGTGAAGGGGGTTGGTGAGGAGGCGTGCCTCCAACATCTCAATTTTCCTCATCAGGGCTTTGAAAGACTCGTCATTGATGCCCATGTTCTCAACAGGATCCAAAATGGGCAGTCCGTCGGGGAAGCGTCTGTGAACCTCCCGAAGAGAGTTGCCAACCTCGTTAAGCGCGGACTGAGATTTGCAGTCCTTGGGCATGAAGACTCTGATCTGGCTGATGGACTTGACGCAAGTCAGAAGACAGGGGATAATCTCGAAGCGAGCTCCGTTGTCCGGCTGTTCAGGGTTCGGGTAGGGAACCAGGCCCTTTGGCAGGTCAGAGGTCAAATGCCTGGAACCTTCGGCAACAGGTGCGCTCTTCTGGTCTACAACCATCATGACGTCGATGAGGCAGGACTCCTGAGGCGGGTATTCGGGCTCGCCTTGCTTGCGGTTGCGGTCGCGGCGGATCAGATTCGCCACGACACCCCAGCCGAAGTCGGTTCCGCCAATGGTGTTATTGGTCTTCTTGGGGTCGTGAATGCGAACCAGACGGCCGGGCTGCATGAAGTCGGTGCAGTGCTCAGGGTGCTGAATGACAGCGCGCATGTCGCTTGTGTACTGCTCCAGCTGGTTGCGGAGGTTGTAGTAGTCCTTGACCGTAGCCTCATCAGCGATGGACATGCTGTCCCTCTCTTGCTGAAGAGCAACCAAGTCACGTTCCAAAGCCGGGACACTAGCACCTGTCTGGAACTGGTGGAAGCAACGCTCAAGCATGAACTCGGGGGAAATAGCCTCGATTCTCAAGAGGTTAAGGATCATGTTGTAGCCGAGGTAGAAGGCGGAGTTAAGACGATCCTGCTCACCCACGACCATGCCGCGGGCAGTGTCAGGCTCCATCTTGTCGTCAATCATCATGATGACAATACCACGCGTATCCAGACCTCTACGACCAGCACGACCAGACATCTGAATGTACTCGGACGGGGTAAGAGGTCTCCGTTGAACTCCATCCCACTTGTTAGTCTGGGTGAAGACGACAGTCTTGGCAGGCATGTTGAGACCAATGGAGAAGGTTTCGGTTGCGACAAGCACCTTGATCAGAGACTCTTGGAACAGAATCTCGATGGTCTCCTTCAAAATGGGAAGAAGACCAGAGTGATGCACACCGATACCCTTTTGCAACAGAGGAAGCAGGTTCTGGATCTGGGGAAGCTCGCGATCAGCCTCGGATAAGCTCTGGATGGCATTGTTGAACACGGTCTTGACCATGGCCTGCTCCGAGTCATTGTTGAACTGGAAATGAGAGATCTGCAGAGCCAGGTTCTCAACCTCCTTTTTGCTGAAGTTGAAAACGATGACAGGGTGGAAGCTCTTCTGCATGATCATGCGAATGATCTTGGAGATATCAGACTTCATATCGGACGCCTGACCACCCTTTTGTGTCTGCTTCTTGGCTCCCTTACCCTTCCAGCTTGCATTCGCGTTGTTGGGGTCTTGACCCTTGCCCGCCTCGATGAGGGACATGGTCTTTTGGAAGTTGCCTTCTCTGAACACGCCCTTCTCGTCGACAACCAGGAAGATGCCGTTACCACCGGCAGGGAAGAAGTAGTTTTGAAGGGGCGTGGGACGGAAATCAGTGTAGACGACGTGGCACGCCTGGTGATGGATCTTGGCAATCCACTCCGCAAACTGGAAGGCGTTGGGAATGGTGGCGGACAAAAAGACGTAGCGGACCTTATCGGGAAGAAGAATGATGGTCTCTTCCCAGACAACGCCTCTGGTCTTGTCTCTCATGTAGTGGATTTCGTCAAAGACGACCCAGGCAACCTCTCGCATGATCTCGGAACCACGGTACAACATGGAGCGCAAAATCTCGGTCGTCATGACCAAACAGCTGGCGGTGGGATTGATCGTGACATCACCAGTCATCAGACCGACATCGCCAAATAGTGCTTCGAAGTCTCGGTATTTCTGGTTGCTGAGGGCCTTGATGGGACTTGTGTAAATGACTCTCTGGTTACGCTTCAGACATTGCGCAATGGCGTATTCGGCGACGACGGTCTTTCCGGCAGAGGTGTGGGCAGAAACCAACACGCTCTCCTCCCTCTCGATCGAAGCGACAGACAGCGCCTGGAAAGGATCTAACTTAAAGCTGTACTGGCGTGCTGGCTCCGCGGGCGGCTTATGCTCGGAGAGGGGGATGTATTCGTAGTCCAGGTCCGGCGGCAAGGCGACTTGGTGCTGGATGTTGTGGGACAGGACGAGCGATTCGTCCTGTGCTGGGGTGAAGACCGCGGCGCCAGCAACCTCTCGGGACTGGGCAGTCTGGAAGGTGTCGGTCAAGACAGGCTGGGCCTCATCTTCCTTCTTCCTCCGCTTGTCCTTATGGGGCTCCTGCTGTTCGTCAGAAGCAGCGGCGGCATCTTCAGTTTCGTCAGCGTCCTGGCCATCCTTGGAGGTATCATCGGCGTCGGGCATGTCGTCGTCCTCTGGCTTTTCGGCGACGCCATTCTTCATTCCACCATCGGCCTTGCGCTTCTTGCTCTTCTTGTCCTTCTTGCGCGACTTCTGAGGGGGCTCGGCTACCTCAGTCTCAGGCTCGGGCTCGCTGTGTGACTCGTTTTGCGCGTCAGGTTGAGCGTCGAAAACATCGAAAAGCTCGTCCATGGTGGGCGATTGCTTGTTGCCAAGCGGGAACAGCAAAGTTGGGGTCGGCGCTTCGTTGGTCTTATGTATGGCGTCAGGGACTCAAGGTTTGTTGATGGACCAATGGCAAGCAAACAAAGCCAAACCTTTGTAAGCTCTCGAAATGCAAAGACGCGAGACACTTGGGGTGTAGCGGTGTGTCTGTTGGTTTTTGAGGGTGTTGACAAGAGGCAACTCCTCAATTTTGTCTAGTCCCGGCAATGTGCGTTCGGTCGCAATTCGCAGGTGCTCGGGCGAAAAAGTTGGCGGGTCGGCCAAGGCGAGCAACAAGGAAGAGGCAGAAAAAAAATTCCAAAATGCATGCATGACGGTGGTTGAAATTCGTCCAGACACGGAAGGCGGTGGCCGCCCATCGTAGCTTCGAAATCCCAGCTGCGGGACTGGACCGTTCGCCGCTACCTATGACTTAGGCTCAGTCACGTGGAATTACATAACCGGGAACAGACTTGGAGATCTTTGGAGCTTAGCCGGCTGCACAGTCTCAGACCACTCTTTTGGATGACTTCAACACCACAATCGCACCTCTCAATACACCCATTGCGCTTCGCGATCGCCTCATAACACACCGCCAAAGTAATTAAGACCCCGCGAATACCCCCCAAAGTCCAATTGATGCTGACCAGTGCTCCGTAGATGTTCGCCCGTGCTGCCGCCCGCGCGGTCCCCAAGACCCCTTCCACGGTCGCCCGCCGCGGCTTCCAGACCACCCGCGCCCAGATGTCCTCGCCCTACCACTACCCCGAGGGTCCCTACACCAACATCCCTTTCAACCCCAAGAGCAAGTTCTTCGGCCTTGGCTTCTGGACCTACTCCTTCGTCGGCTTCTTCGCCCCCTTCGGCATTGCTGGTGCGTGCTTTTTTACCGCGGCCCCGATTTCCGCCGATATCGAGTACTGACGAGATTCATAGTTTGGCAAACCAAGAAGCCCAAGGTTTAAGGAACCTCTTTGCACATTTTTTCTTGAGTCGATCGCCATTGTAGAGCATGGATTGGGTTGAGACGGAGGACGACTGTGTACACAAGCCGAAATAGAGACTTTTCGTCCTCAATGGATCAGCAGGGAAACCGAATTACGATCTGTCCGTCGCGGCATTATATGTGATGAATGTGAATCGCAGACCTGGGAGCTATACCAGACTACAGCCCGTGCCCGTGCTGGGATACTCATCAAAGGTGAATGGGGATAGAGGTCACAGTTCTCTACTCAAGTGGCAGTGTGCTACATTGTGTCGGCAACTGGACAGTCTCAAGGACTTAAGGGTCAAAAACAGAGTTCACCTCAGTAGGCTACATCCCTTGTCGATTATCCTGGTGCTCATACTGGGATCTTATGCGAATTGAAACTCGGAGCTTGCCGATTTGGCTGGAGGGGTAATTGGTTGTTGCTCGCTGGTACATTATTCCACCACCCAATCACTTTGTCCTCAACTCCCGATATGGAGAGATGCCTGCTGTTGCTGGTGGCTGGAGTGGAGTTGAGGGGGGGTAATAAGGACTTCTTGTGTATATTCAGATAATAGAAAGGCTATTGGATGAAGGTCTGCTGGATACGGCCGGCGAGGTGGAGAGGAGGGGAGAAGGGCTAGATAAGGTGTCAATCATTGACAACAGGACAATGGAATAAGCTTTTGACGGTGAGGTATGGACAGGTAATTGAAATTACTGGTATCTTTGTCTATAGTATAGATTGTTTTACATTGGCCGTTTCCTGACCGCCTTGTGCTTCTTCTTCTGCTGCCCGGGCCCATGCCGGAAGATGAACGCATCCTTGCCGTCCATGAGTCTGGCAATATAGTGATCCATAAAGTCCGCCCTATCCGGCTCAAGTTCCCACCTCTTCTTGAAATCTTCGTACACCTCCAATACCTTTTCGTTATTTGTACATTTCATGAAGGCCCGAAGCGCCCAAATCATGAGCCAGGTATCAAGTCTTAGACCCTGGACTTTGTTGTCAATCGCCTCAAATAGCGCGGCCAAGACATTTTCGAGCCGGTCACCTGTCCAAGGAGAAAACGGAGATGCGCCATACTTGCTGAACCCTTCGAAGATGGCTAGGAAGATGCTCCCGTGAACTGGCACGTCGAATTGTGGCATCTCGTCCAGAAACTGGGCAGTCTTGCTCAGGTTTCCCTTCGTTATAGCGAAATGCTTAATCAGGATGCGGTACGTTCGCATGTCAGGAGTCTCATGTGCGAGCTCCTGTAGCTGTGGGCGGAGCTCTGGTATCTTTTTGCCGACGCGTGCAAACATGGAGTGAATATGGATGACGGCCTTATCCATTGACGGGTCCATCTGGGGTATCTTAGCAGCCGCCGAGTAGCTGTCCTTCATATACCCGTAAACCTTCAGCGCCGCGTCCTCATCCCCACATCTCAGGAAACTGGAGATGACGCAGTTGAGGACCACGGTGTCGACCATCTCCCCGGCCTCCACCAATTCCTTGTATGCAGCCCGGACGCCGTCGGGGTCTTCGCGGAGCCCAAAGAAGTGAATCAGGCTGACGTGGTGGAAGCGGTTGAAGCTATATCCGCGCTTCTTCATCTCCTCGTAGAGCATCTCAGCTAGTGCAAAGTTTCCAGCCTTGGACGCCGCATCAAATAGGATGTTGAAAGTGACGGCGTTCCCCTTCACACCAGACAACTTTTCCATCTCCTTCCACAGCTGGAGAGCAGCCTCGGCTTCGGTGTCCGTGACTCTGCCGACATATCTGCTTGCTAGAGCCAGGGCATGGTTCCATTCGCTTTGTCGCAGAGCAATCCCGCAATCCTTCGCGTCACCGATGAGGGAGAAGTACCGAAGCATCGTCTGCGTCTCCTTCTTGATCGGGGTGCCAAATATCTTGAGTAAGCGATGGCGCAGCTTTGCTGGCATATGAATCATCCGAGGTTCCGGTAGCGCCGCGTATAGGCTGTGTATGGTGCCCAAATCAACCCTCGCTGGATATCTCATCTTGGTGCTTACAGCAGTGCCAAGCTTGGTGACCAACTGTCCTATGTCTTCATCGCCGCGTAGTGCTTCATGATATGAAGGGTACTGCTGGTCCTCTTTCCTCTCCGATATCGTGAGCGGACTAGGCTCTGGTTGAGCGTATCTGTTCAGGTAGGGATCCCGGGCAAGTTCCAGGTGTTCGTCCACTGTTCCAACATCCTCATGCTCCACGAAGCCGAGTAGGACGTTCTTGTCCTTCCGCATGACTACATGATGTGATCGACTAGCTGAGGTAACGGCGGAGGCGGCAACGTGGCTATATGATCGAGATCGTCCGCGGATGGCCGAGTTTGAGCTTGTCGGGGCACGAGGGCGAACAGAAGAGGGCGCCGGCAGAAAGGTCGACAGCAGCCATGAAGCTGTCCGAGGACACTGAGTGCCCGGTGGGCGAGAGCATCGTGTGCGGTCCCTCTGGTGCTGAGACGCCGGCGCCCTCGAAGGTCTCTCGGTTCGGAGCTCTGGCCGGGAAGAAACTGCAGCTCGAGCTGCGCAGGGTCGAGTCGAGAGAATGGCACCGCATACGGACCCGTCTATCCGGCTAAGTACTTTCATGGGTTGTCGAGCATTGCGGCCAGGGCATCACCGTTCCATCGAAGAGCACGCGCTCACTGGCGAATAGCTTAATAAAATTGGCGTTTGGAAATCGTTGGTGAGCTGCCAGCTGCGTTACTAAAAGCTCCGGGATGATTGGGATGGGAATATTATTTCGCTGGTGAAGTGCATGGGTAGAGTGGGGCCGACCGCGATAGCCGGTGCCGGCGTTAGGATTGGCCGACGCTCCAAATTTCTGAGTTGCAGTTCGCGACGGACGGAGCTCATCACCTGCAAAGGCACCCCAGACAGGATCGAACAGTCGTGCCACATCCGCCTCGATCTCAATAGTGAGTCTCAATTGCCCAAAAGATGCAGCTTACCAGACATCTGACAAACTTGGCAGGTCAAGATGGGGCGACAGATCAGGCCTGCGCGGATCTACCAGACCGTGAGCCAGGAGCTCAACTCGAAAATCCTCCCAACGTATCCCGTCTATGAACCACCATGGTTCCAAGTCATGAGGGATATCCCCCCTTCCGAAATCATTACGAGGCCGGCTATCGTCAACACCCAGAACTCCAATCGCAAAAATCGCAAGCCTCAAGGCATCTACAAACCTCAACAGATCGTGCACGAGGAGGACTCCTTACGGAAGACGTTCTTCAGAGACCACCCTTGGGAATTGGCGCGCCCAAGAATGATTTTGGAAACAGATGGAAAGGATTATCAGAGATGCGACTGGTCCAAGGGTGTCCGCCAATACAGAACGCCTCTGACCGGTGAATGGTAAGCTAACCCCGACTGTTCAGCTCCTCCCTCCCCTCGGAGCCACAACTAACAAACAGACAGCGTCGTCCAGCGCCAGCTTTGGCTCATGCACAACAAAAATTACCCGAGAGCAAAGGCATACGACATTGCAAGAAAGGAGTTCTACGCGCTGCGCCAGGAGGAGGAGATTGAGAAGCGCGTTGCCAGGGAGGAGGCGAGACACGTCGGGGCGTACTTTGGCAAGAACAGGTTGCAAATCGCACAGGACCTGGAGGACAAGGAATTTGAGGTCTGGAAGGGCTGGGCGAGCAACAGAGCTGTCATGATCGAGCAGGCGCGCACTGCCAGTTACGCCAACTTTGGTGAAGAGGCGACGGATGAGGTTGCTGTCGGGGCGGAGGCGGAGGCGGCGGCTTGAGCAGAGAGGCCCCGGGCCTTGTAAGTATATGTACTACAAAGATCTGTATAATACCAAAATTCCAGGTTCCTTCGACTGCGAATAGTCATTCAATGTGCCCACTTCTGTGCCTCGCCCTGTGAACAAATTATTGGGGAGAGTGCCGTGGCCGTTGTGGATTGATCTTCACGCTTCAAGATCAGTGGCTACAAGCTAGCTGGGTCGTAGGTTATCAGAATAAGCCGAATTTTTGCTTCCATCGAGTGAATTGAGCGTATGGTCCTGTATTGGTGAAAAAAGGCATGGGCCTATAGCTATATTGTTTCTCCGATGCCAAGCATTCACGACCTCCTTTCTACCTAGGTCAGAAATGGTTGAGATATAACAAATTATCATATCTTCTTTCTCACAACCATACAACCTGCATTGGCCACGCCGTAGGTCTTGGCTACTTGCTCATGCTGAACCAACAAGATGTCGGCAATGCCAGTGTAATGAAACAGCTTCCCTGTCAGACTGAGGGTCTGAATTCTGGCCCACGACTCAACGTAGATGACCTGCATGGTGTCTTCTGGAACAACGTAGAGCATCTTGAGGAGGTATGCCGCTAGACCGACAATGAAGCCAGTGGCAGGGCCATTGGTCAGAATGATGTCGGGAAACTGCTGGCGACTTCTGGGGCCCTTGAAAGGAGAGGACAGCAGCAAGGGGAATATCTCAGCCACCGACATCAGGGCGGTAAAGGGCGTTGTAAGTAGGCTCTGGTGAATCTTTCTAGCTCTCGCAACGATGTGTTTGTCAAATGTTCCCACTTGTCCCTCGCCGTGGGTAGTCCTGAGCTCGTCTTCAAAGGCATTCAGGTGTGTGAGTGACATTGAGTCGCCACTAGAGATGAGATAGCGTCGGTGCATGTCGGGGACGTTGGGAAAGCTGATCTCCATCATGGCTAGCATTTCCTTGGTGTGGCCACCTGAGCCCAAGACGACGAGGAAGTAAGCTCCTTTGAGCAAGCTGGGACTAATGGACTTCTTCGCAGCGACATCAGACAGATGAATCGGTCGCTTTAAACGAGACTGCTGGATTTGAAGGTGGCGGGCCTACATACTGTCAATATTGAGTGGGTTTCCAAAGACAAGTTGATCAATTACCGTGATAAAGACACTGCTGGAGATGACACCCAGAACTAGGGTTAAGAGTAGGGCCCTCCATGAGGACTTGAGAATGAGGCCTAGGCCAAGGACACAGAAAGCAGACGCAATACCGATCAGAGTAGATGCAGCCGCCATATTGTCATGTTATAATGAGACCTTATTCTTGTTCAATTGCCATTTCCCATCAGTGCGTGGTGTTGTTGCGATTATTCAACCTGTTGAAATTGATGTATCAGTAATGTGTTTTGATAGAAGAAACAAATATTACTCACGGCTTTGCGTCTTATGAGAGAACGTTTAGAACGTCGATCTTCGACGGCTAATCGGCTGCAATAATAAACAAGTAAGTGATTTCCCTATTGCAAGACCAAATCTCGCTTCATCGACGAGATATCAAAAGCCCTTCAGTCATGAGGCGAGTGGCTTTCAAGTGGATATAAGTGCACCGCTGGCAGTGACTGAAGCTGTCACTGGAGACTTGTGGGGACCCTGTGTGATAGATCCAATTGGAGCAGCGGTGCTCCAAGCTTCCGCCTTGTGCCGGGCTTCAGAAGGTACTCCGTACCTCAGTGTACAAGTAGGTAATCCGCTAGGGGGCTCCTGACAGAAAAAGCGGATGACCTCATGTTCCTGCTGGGACTTGAAGACCCCTGCGACTTCCCCTGCTTTCTCCCAGGAATACGTGCAGACCGCCCGGCAGAATCTCGAAAGTTCCGGGCTACAACAATATTGACGAAAGACATACCGTCAACCTGCATAAATGCTTTGTATGGCCCGAGGAGCCTCGAACCTCAAAGCGCAATGGCAAACTTGAGAAGCGGCAGGCTGCTGACCTGCTTTTACTGCGGCAAACGGTCATCAACAAGATACGATGGCCTGATCTCGGAATTTCTCTGCCTAAAATGCGACGCGACAAACTATCTGGACGAGGTGAGTAAACTAACCTACGGCACAAAGCAAGTCGCGATTCCATCTGACAGTAACCTAGCGCGGAGACATCACCGATCCTCCAGTAGCCAAGACCACCTCAGCGCCTGCTGCGACGACGTACGCGATACCGCGATCTCAGTCCCCCGACTTCAGTACTCCATCACAGAGCATTTTCTGCCCGACATGTCTCAAGAACCAGCATCTGTTCACCAGCTCCCTGGCACAATACCTGCCTGAAGACCCAGACCACCCCGACTATGCCGAGCTCGAGAGAAATATGTACAAGTTCCGTCGACGACTCGAACAGCGATACCCTCAGATATGCGCCCAGTGCGAGCCCAAAGTTCAAGCTCAGCTGGATCAGGCCGGCTACACGGCGCGGACCGACCATCTACGACGCATGATGGATAGGAGCAGGAAAGTCAGGGTCGCTCCAAAACAATTAACCTCGCTAGACATTGCGGCTAAGGTGGGAAGGTGGCTCTGGTTTGGTGGTATTTCTTGCCAATACCTGTGGCATGTCGCATCCTTGGCTGCTGTCTTTGCGACGCAATATGATGAAGGGCCAATGCGAGACCCAGACGCGGATGCCGAAAGCACAATGGTACAGAGACTTTCACTTGCTCTTACACTGCTTCTTCCTCGGCCTGAGAGGCTGATACACTGGAGTCTATGGACCAATGCTGTGAGCATCTGGTGGAACCCGAAATTCGTTCAGGTCTTTCGTGGCTTCTCTCGTCATATCCTGGGCTTGTCACACTGGTACACCTTTCAGGGGCTCATCATCTTCACTCGATTTCTTGCCATGAGAATGACCGAAATGAAAGGCGGGCGATCAGCTGAAGCAAGTGCCCAGGTGAGCCTCCATGGACTGATGGCTGTGTTGATGTTAGCTGTGAGTGACACGAATTACGATCTCCCGAAGGCGCTGCTGACTCGATGCTGCAGATATACATACTTGCCCAACGATCCGTACGTGTCGACATGACACCGCTATTCCAGAACACCGGAACACCAGCTGCGTCACCACCAAGACCGCAAACGGCGCAAGCTCGAGAGGACGACAACAAGAACATGGCGAATCTTCTGGACGACATTCTAGCCGAGTCCAGCCCGAGGCCAGGGATTCCTCCAAGTCCAACGAGCATTGGCTCAGCATCACCAGCACTCTTCCAGCGGGAATTGCAGCACAGATCGAGCAACCGGAATATTGGCATCAACACTCCGCAAAAGCTGCCTCAGCCCCAGTATTCGGAGGAAATGGATTGGTCTCCAACACAATCCAAACACCGGGCCTTCAACGACTTTGGACCTCCAAAGGCACCGAACCAGGTGTTTGGGCAACCTGATTCAGGCCCCAACTCGAGCCCGTTCTGGTACAAGGTTCCTCCCGCGCCGATAACACCGGCGCAAAAGCTTCGCAACGGTCCCAAGGTGTTGACGAAACCGGTGGAGAAAAAGTCAATCTTCACAACCGGCAGGACGGATGCGTCCAAATCGCGGGGCGAGGACGCGAGCAGCGACACGGGCAAGGTGGCATTTGCGCAACCCACGTTCTTCGCGCCCTCGGCAATGTCGAACCCCAGTGATCCACGCAGCTCCTTGGCCGATCTGCTCAATTCGAGTTTCACGCTGAGCCTAGACGACGATGAAGAAGAGGGAGAGACGTCGGCGGCAACGAAGACGGAAACAGGAAATAAGTACGCCGAGCTTGCGAACCCCGGACCTTCGGCACGAACGGCTGGTCTGCGTAACAATCGCTTACTGGACGTTTTCACCTTGGCGATCCTCCTCGGCGCGTGGCTCCATGCGACATCTGCGTCATACCCGTATAGCCGGGACGTAATGTTTGGCGCCATGCTCCTGAGCATGGCCATTGCCATTCACCTCACCAGCGACGCAATCAGGGACATGCGCAACGAGAATACGCCCAGCTTGGCGTCCATTATCAACACGTCGCTCGGGATAGGAGAGCTGGCGGTGGCATGTCACTTTGCGCTCCAAATATGGGGTGATCGGACGCCGACGTCCGGATTGCACGGCGCGTCGGTCATTGGAGCGATACTCGCGCATGAGATGTGGAATGCTGCTTGCTAGAGAGCATCCGTATATCCCGTTGGCCCCCGTCGGGTGTTGTGGAGAAAGAGACAACAAGACACCAAAAGAAACACATGAGATGAGTAACACGAAGCTTTGATTGGCATTGTTCAGCGGCGTTTATCGGAATTTGGGTATAAGGCTGCATAAGGGGCACACAGGGGATTCATTGCCTGGGTGACCACTTGGATACACCAACGGAGAAGAGAGTAGAGAGAGGTTCATGGACTTGACGTCTTTGCGCCCTTTGGTTTTTGGGGTTTACGGGTAGGCAGCTGTGTCGTTGAATAGTTAGACAATGGTATATCGACGATGTCGAACGGTGTTACGGCGGCCCCAGTGGTCCAAGTCTAGCGAAGTCTGGCGGGACCGGGGGCGGAGTGGAGGGCTTTGGGAAAAAATGAGAATTACCGATCATGCATACTACCGCCGTTCCACGCGATTTTCCTCTCTCTTTTCCCCGGCTCGCCTTCGCTCTCGGGTCCCCTAATCCATCGTCTCCTCTCCGAGAAATCAAACTTGTTAGCCTCGATGCGAGTGTGCGAGTACCTACTTAATGGTGTGGTCCAGCTGTGCGTTTGGCACCCGCTAGTCTGCGTATTAGTGGTACGACGGGCTCTGTTTGCTTTCGGTCGAGCCGGGGCACCGTTAGGAAATACAAGTACTCCGTAGAAGGTCGCGGCTGAGTGAGCCGGACGAAATATCGAATCAACTGCCCGTTGTATGGCTGGGCCTGCCATGGAATCCTCCGAGGTCGACCGACGCTACGGGCCCGGTGTACGCTAGAAGTATAGAGAGTTATTGCTAACCTTGCTACGCGTATGCTACGATGCTGTTCCGAGCTAGATCGTGGTGCTTGATGGCCAGATGGGGGAGAGCTAGCACACGCCAGAGGCGCCGCCATGGCGTCGTTCATCGCATGGCCTGGGCTCGTCTGCATGCCTTCGATGCCGTGATTTCATAACGCTGCTTTGTATTCGTGGATCGCGGGGTTTACCCTCATAGCATCATCTGTCAAGTTTTCATCGTAGAGAATTGGTTCCACTAGTTTACGGTCGGTCGTGGGAAACAAGCACGACAAGATGCCCAGGATCTTGTTCGGCATCTCACTCTTTTTGGGTCTTTGGGATAGTGACCCGAAATTGTGAGGCCCGGATCCCTGATGACAGGAGCAAATTCAAAGTACCTGAAGTTGATGCGAAAGAGTCTTGGAAGATAACAAGTGATGATAAATCCAGGCGAGTCTCCGCCCGCCGGTGGGACGGACGTAAGTAACCCGCTCGTTCGCGAGGTTACCAAACTTAACACCGAGATGGTAACGGGGAATCATCCCGGTCAGCCTCATCGAGAAAATCTGACAGGCATCTGCCGCTCGGTGCCGAAAAAGGCGAATGTGGCCGGCCTACGAGATACGGGTACCAGGACCCTAGCCAAAATCATTGTTCGGTGAGTAATAACAGCTTAGTCTCCACTCAGCAGAATTCGAGGAGTGCTAGCTCTCTCCGTGCTGCGTAATAAAGTTGTACTCCAGTATGAGTACGGATACTCGCCCTCTCACAACCGTGGTCCGTCAGAAGGTTACCAGAAGCACTAAGTAGTACGCATTTGCAGTAAGCTTTGTGATCGCTAATGGGTACTTTTTTGTGCGATGCTCGTCGGGCAACTCCAGACGTGCCGGTATTTCCGGGTGGCTACCGGGTAATGGGGATAATCAGATAATCATCGTGGGCCGCAAGGTAAGGCTTTCCTTGATTTTGGGCTGGGTATGGCACCAGCTAGCGTCACCAGTACCGTGATAAAAGGCGACTCAAGGCCCCAATGCTTCGAGTTGTGATGAAGAGTGAGGTAATGCCGTCACTTTGGCAGCCTGGCTGAGACGGAATTGGCTGGTTCGAGGGTTGGAGACAGGTAGTGTTTGCTTTTCCCCTTCTCTCTTTTGCGTCATGTCAGCAAGTAAATAGGTACACCGAGGTACCTTACGTCGCTTACCTCGCTATAGTTACCAGGAAGTCGGTACACACAGTATAGAACCCTTGCGTGGGATTCCGTACGGCTTACACAGCCTGCCAGCCTCTGCTGAAGCCACAGATGTTTGCACCAATGTAAGTCGCATGCCACGCTCGGTCGAACCTGTGCGGGAGTCGACTGTTTTGGGCGGTGTCCGTACCAAAGGGGCATATGACGTACTGAATGGATTGTCACTGCGAGGCGAGTGACAGAATGCGACAGTCTGGAATGGTGATGAAGCAACCAGAAGAACCCCATGTCTTCATCAGCTATTCCCTGTGAGATAACAGGTATGCGTCTTTGGTAAGTTGGTTCACCGTACTGTCGAATACAATAAGTTGTGTGGAATGAAGTGAGGTCAGCGAGATTCGAGGCGGGGGTGGGACTGGAATGCTGGTTTGTCCAGGAGTTCAGTTAGAGTCTCCGTAGCCGTCTGTGTAGCGAACTTTGGCGCTTCTTTCCGGCGGTTGCGGGATGACTCCAACAGAATAGAGTCACGTTGACAGTTGCGAAGATCAGTCATCGAGCTTCCGTATGTCGTGGGCGCTCGATCGACGCAAGACGAGGCTGTTCGTATGTGGCTGGGTGACGCCGTCCGAAAACCCCCGCGTCCGCCGTCCGCGTGAGTTCCCCTACTGGCCATGACATGGCACGACAGGACGCAAGAGGAACAGTGGCCTCGAGCCGGGGCGATGCAGACGATGTAGGGCGCCTGTCTCGGAAGGCCAACCACTGCTGGACACCACCCATTCAGCATAAGTCGAGCACTACCTACTTTTGTTGATCGCTGATCGTCCATGGATGGGCGTATTGCGAGAGAAAGTTATTTGGAGAATCCCTGCTTGAGTCTCCCCTCTCACTGGTCCAGTGGTTGTAGTCCATAACACACGGTTTAAATGCAGCTCGACCGGCGGACTGTCATGAAGGGGACCAGTAAGGTTTCGAGCAAATGTTCCCCCAAGATGCGACTCTAATCGAGACTGGCAAAGTCTGGGGAAAAGTTGATGGTTGGTGTCCTGTTGATCCCAGCATTCGCGTTGCGAGCAATAGCAACTGTACTCCGTACCAGTCGTGCCAGTGCGAGGTACAACCGTTAATAGCATGGACGGACGCGCATCGCTTTATCGGTCGGGTTTGAAGGCAATCCGCCACTCGCGGAAGACGGGAAGAGGAGATCACCGATCATATCAAGTTTTGGGTTGAAATTGGTAGAGAGGTCCAACCGCGGGTTGGCGCTGAATCTCTGTAACTGATCGGTGTCTGTCGAGTCTGTCTGTCAAAGTGGTGCACTGGTGCTGCCACAAGAAGACGCATCGACCGGTGCCCGCCGTCTTCCCTTTTGCCTCGTTGTCCTGGTGCGCCCCGTGGCTGAGAGTTGCCGATCATCTGTGGCTGCTGCGTCAGCGCTCAGATCATCGGAGGGTTTTCTTTCTTCTCGCTATGCGTGCTCCGTACGGACCGCTCGCTGTTTTGCTGTTTTGCTGGTCTCTGCGCTTTCCTTTCCCTTTCTGTTGGCTGGTCCCTGATCGCTTGGCGGTCTGCCACAATTGTCACAAGTTTGTTGTCGCCCCTTTTGGGACTTTGCTGTTGAAAGCCCGAGACAGCCCACCCAGCCATCGTGGCATACCTTTACAGGCTTGCTATGGGGCTGGAGGATGTTGATGTTTCGTTGCGCGGCCAGCGAGTGTCCATCTTGCCAGGTTGATGCGAATTATGATGATGTTGTGGATTTGTGATTGTTATACCAAACTCCAAGGAAGAGACGGTCGTGCAGATTAATGGGAGTTAGGTTGCTGGGTTGAATACCTACGGAGTATTGAGGTACGTATCCCGCATTTCGCATCAAAAAGGTGCTAAGAATATCATGCCTGAGGGTTGACCTTAGGTAGGTTCCACGGGACAGAGGAGTGAAGGTACGTATCGCCACAAGTATCCGTACCTCCCCTTCTCCGTCCATTCGCACCTTCCATCGTGTCAGAATACGTACCCAGTCCCCCAAACAACGGTCTCTCTGCTTCTCTCCAGCTTGGCTCTTACGGGTCTGCGGCTCCAAAGCTTACAAAGTCAGCTCGGCTCAAACTTCAGTGGCAGAGTGGCCCAGAGTCGCACCTTGTTTGTTTGTGGTTTAGTGAGCGTACCCTTGCTGCGTCCCCCACAGTCCCATCTCTTGTATCTCCAGCGTGGACTTTGGGGGAGAGATACATGGTCAGCCGAGTCCTCGCCCTTCCTAGCCTCTCGCTGGCCTGAGGTCTGCATTGGCCGGGTCCAGCCCACTACGGAGTACACACTCGTCACCTTGGAAGCATTGCATTTTCCCTTTAAATTTTCTTGTCCCTCACTGTCTCCAGCAAAAACTTCAGAGAGCCCAGTCTGAGAGTGAACCTCCAGAAGTATTCATGTACCTCTGTGCCGGTGGAAGTAAGGTACGACAGGTACGGAGTACATACGTCCCTTCCCCAAATTTTGTGATGCCACCACCCCACCCCTCCTCCTTTTTTTTCGTCTCCCCTTCGTGCCTTCCTGGTTCTCCATTATCGAGACTGTCTCCGACCTCCGCCTTCTAAGTCCGTTCAGGTCTCTGGCCGTCACCCATCGAAATCAATCTTTTTCTTCCTCTCTCCGTCTGCCTCTGACTCTGCCTTCCCCTCTCCCCCTTCCTAAAATTTAAACCAATACTTGGGCCTTGAACCTGAGACAACCCCCAAGGCAGATCTTTCTACCCACTTCACTTCGTCTCGTCTTGGCCAAGCATTTCGACCAAAAGCCAAGCTATTCGTACGCCAGCAGAGAAGAAAAAGGTACGTAGCAGCAGGCCTTCCCCGTCATTCACCTTTTGGTTCCTTGCGCGGTCAGTCAGGGTAGGCAGGCTCAGAGGTACCTCATCACCAAAGCCAAGGCATGGGTGTACTTCAGCCTCCTCCACCGCACCCACGTCCCACCCACCTCACGCACCACACCGCGGACCATTCATTCAACCCATCCCACACATTACGATGCTCATTTACTAACCCGCTCCTCCCGCGCGCACCCAGGGTCCTTTTCCTCTTTCTACCTCTGCCTCACTTCTACAACCAATACCAATCAACTATCTAAACAACCCCCCAAACACTCTTCATTTGTCTCTCTCGCCTGCACAACTGGGATTTCCAAATTCGTCACCGAGATCTTGCGAGAACGAACCGTCGCCTACGCCTGCGACAACATCAACAAGACCACCTTACCCGCGATTCACGACAAGATGGACCTCAATTTCCAACTTGCCGCCCGTCAGGTTTCTGCCTGTGCTCTTTAGAGACACGCAAAGGGACATCTTTCAACATTGCCTCTTGTCCCACGGGAGGAAAAACATCATTGCACGCTTTTCAACACTCCTCAAAAAATAAATACCAACCGACAACACGTACCGCTTCGCTCACACGACCACTTACCCTTTCCTAACCTTTCTCCGAAACCCTGAACTTTACTACCCACGAACCCCAGAAGACATAAGTACTGCAACACCCGTGAACAGTCACGCGATCAAGCTCACTCCACGATCACTCCACCCACGACTTACACCATTACCCCATACCATGGCTGGTGCCGTGGTCTCCAAACGAAGTGCGAGACAGTTCCTCGAAGACGAAGGCGGTCATCCCGCAGAGCATCCTACCTACCACCCCGCGAGACGCAACTCCAAGCAAGACGATCCCGTCCCTGTTGAGATGGCCGACAAGTACCAAACCAAGGGCCCTTCGCGGCAAGGATCGCGCGAGTCCGTAGCTGGCTCCGACTCTACACTAGAAGGTTCTTTACAGAAGCAGATCATGAAAGCGATCGAAGACGATTCCCAAACGGCCGCCATTATTGGAGAGAAGACATTGGCCAGGCGTGAGGATGGACTCCTCAAAGTCAACGACCAGGCGAAATCGCCTCTGGGCCCTACTATGTCGCCTGATATTGAGCGAGTCTTGCCAATTGATGGACGACCAATTAACTTTGGCGTTGTTGTCCCCGGAGTCTATCGAAGCAGCTATCCCAAGCCTGAAGACTTTGGCTTCATCCGCAATCTTGGTCTCAAATCGATTGTGTAAGTCACTACAGGTTCCGATTCTCGCCAGCGGCCGTTTCTAACATAGCTCTTAGTACCCTTGTCCAAAAAGACGACGTCGATGAGCCTTACACTGCTTTCATGTCAAGCAACGGTATTCGTCACCATGTCTTTAACATGAAGGGTACCAAGAAGGAGGCCATTCCCATTCGCACAATGAAGTCAATCTTGCGGCTTGTTCTGAACCGAGAGCACCACCCCCTCCTCATTCACTGCAACCATGGCAAGGTATGTCTACAACACCAGACAGTCTTGGTATCGTTCGCCCACTAACATGACTATAGCATCGCACTGGCTGTGTCGTTGGCGTGGTTCGCAAGGTGACGGGCTGGGAGCTCAGCACCATTGTTGATGAGTACCGGGCATACGCTGAGCCCAAGATCAGAGACTGCGACGTTAAGTATCTCACCGACTTTGATCTCTCGGATCTTTCCAACCTGTTTGTCCACGAAGCGAACATGCGGTTTCGCATTCGACACTTTATGAGAGTGACCCTATTCACTGTCTTTGTCGTCTTCGTCTGGTTCATCTCGGGGCATAGAATGCAGACGACAGCCAGACGCGTCAAAGAAGTGAAGTAATCGTCCCTGTCGCGAGTGTTACAGACTCTGGCATTTCTGCATGATGCTTGGCATTGGGCGGATCTTGGCCGAAGTCTGAACTTGGTGGAGCGCAGCGCAATATGGTACAGCACTCTAGAAGTAGACTGGAGACTGTTACCCAGCGACGATACCATACACAAAGACAGAAGAAGACTACACAGCGATGATGAAAGACAGGGGAGAAGGCTGTCACAGCACCGGTGAGAGGAAGATCGACGAGATGAGTCGAAGTACATGAGAGGGAGCAGAAGAATAAGGACACACAAAAAGTTTGGTACATTGGGACTACCGCCCTCAAAGATGCAGCATAGACTGCCTGGGTTGGACCGGCTTCCTTCAATTTTTCTTTGTATGGATAGACAGAATACTGGGGACTCATCAAGAGCTGAGATGTCTCCTTTTGGCGTTAACTCGAGACTTGGGAAGTCATCGACAATGGCATTTCATCAAGTACAGGCTTTTTCCTTTGCTTTTTTGTTGTAGTGTATTACTATCTTGTTAGGGTAGTTTGGACAGTTGACTATTTGGGGAGGTTATGACCTTTCTGCAAACGCAATCGACTCAAGTCAACGTAGCTGATTTCTACATTGTCGAGATTCGTGTACATACTATTCCAAAAATTTGGTCTACCCTTAAAGTGCCCGTTTCTCCGTCTCCACGCTTGCTATTTTCGTGTGCAAGCATTGATTCCCCCAGGCGCTTATCGAGATCATGGTATGTGTGTATGTCGATCCATCCCCAGACGCTACTGTTTCGCGTAACGACGTTTCGTCTCATGACTCGACGTATATCATTATCCTAACAGACTTCCCCTATAATCGTACAATATTCCTTACAGTCGATACTATTAATGTCTACGTTGGCTTGGCATCTTGAGTTTCTTCAGACAACTCGAGCCGAGCCAAGACCGCGCACCACCTCTCAGGGGAGTGGCAGCACTCCCACGGCAGAGACCAGATGGAAGAACATCATGCCTCATGTTTCCCTGAACATGGCCCCCCTCGAGTCTTTTCTCTCCGCCTGGCATCTCTCAAAACTTTTGTCTTCTCCGCCCTTTTCTCCCTATCTCATGACTCCCCGCCCCAGCGATTCCTCTCTTTCCTCTCCACCTCATCCTTCTTCCGATCGCCATTGGCGTACACCCACGCGCCGGCAGCAGAGTTGGCAAAGCCCATACCGATGGCGGTGCCGCGGACGAGGCCGCGGGCGGTGAACTTGCTTCGCAGAGGTTGGCGGCGGCGCAGGGCGAGGAGGGCGTAGAGGCCCGAGAGGGCGCAGGTGAAACCCGCGCTGTCTGTGGGGAAGCCGGCGAGATTGACGTAGCTGCTGAAGAGGAGGGCGGGCGCGAAGGAGGCCGGAAGGATCTTGAGGGGCCGGCCGTGGAGGGCGCCGATTAGGATCGCGTGTATTGCGGGCGGGAGGGGGTTTGCTGGAGAGTGTTAGTGGGGGGCAAGATGAATGGAATTGGTTTTGGGGCAGTTGGAGTAGAGGGGAGGTGGTGCGTACTGCCATAGTCGTGGATTTTGCTAAAGATTGATGACTTGACGTCTTCCGTGTCTGAGAGGCCGTTGTCGGCTGCCATTGTCGCTGGAGGATTTGGGATTTGGCGACCGCAAGACTGGGCTGATTTCGCTGTTGGAGCGAGGAAAGGATATCGTCACTGATTTTTTGGAGTCGCAGCAGGGACCTTACCTCGAGGTAGGTACCTTAGCTCATTCCCGTATTAGTGACACATGTTATCGATAAGAAGAGACCCTGCTCGGATGAGTCAGCCGAGCCGCATACCCAATCAGCTGGTCCGTGGTTCCGGGGCGTCGGGCGAGTCTCTCAATTTCGACCTCCATCGAGTGGATTGGAACTTGGTACAGTGTCTTGTTCCCCCCATGTTGGCTGGAACTCTCGCGACTTTGCCTACATTTCTTTCGCTTTCGCAAGATAGTCACACGATTCCCTCCGGCGAACACACAAGATTGTTCGCCACTTTCCGGGCTCATTGACGACAGAGCCCCGAGTCAGCGAGCTATTTGCTGCACCTGGTGCGGGGGAGCATCGCATCAGTAACGTGGGCTCTTAGCCTTGCATCGCCTATCTTGCCAGATTGGCAAAACCCACCAACGCAACATCGCATCCTCCAACGACTGCGCGCACCCACGGCCGCAAGGAGTCTCGATCCAACCCGCACACACTCTGTGTGCTTTTATACGCAATACCGTCAATCGCAATCATTAACTTGATTCCGACCATCCGATAGACGATTCCTCGATCTTGCCCCGGCAACCACATCACCACACCAAAAAAAAGAAAACACAAACACACATACACACCAAACCATGCCGAGCGCAACAGCCTCGGGCGCCGACTCAGGCGGCGGCGCCCGCAACCGCGAGCACAACCAGGGTAACCAGGCCCGCGCCTACACGGTCGACCAAAAAGCCGCCGTCCTGCGGATCCGGAAATGCTCGCCGACGGCCTTTTACGACATCCTCGGCCTCGAGGAGGTGAAGACGACGGTGACGGAGAGCGAGATCAAGAAGGCGTACCGCAAGCAGTCGCTCCTGACCCACCCGGACAAGAACGGCCACGAGCACGCCGACGAGGCCTTCAAGATGGTCAGCCGCGCGTTTAGCGTGCTGGGTGACAAGGAGAAGCGCGAAAAGTTTGACCGGTTCGGTACGGACCCCGATTCGAGATTTGGGCAGGCACAGGCGCAGAACCCGTTTAGTGGATTTGGTAGGCGGCAAGGCGGCGGAGGGGGAGGAGGTGGTGGCGGCGGCGGTGGTGGTGGGATGGAGGAGATGACGCCTGAGGAGATGTTCCAGCGCTTCTTTGGCGGTGGTGGGTTTGGTGGTGGACCTTTCGGAGGCGGAGGTAAGAATGAAACCATTTCGAGAGACTGGGCGATGAAGCTAATGATGGCGCGCAGGTTTCGATACGGGACCTCAGTTCGTGTTCAACTTTGGCGGCGGTCCGGGTTTCAGGGTACACCAGTTCGGCGGAGCGCGGCCGCGGAGGAGACCGCGCGAGGCGACGGAGCAAGAAGGAGGCGGGCTCTCGACGCTCATGGGCCTGCTCCCGATCCTGCTTCTCTTTGTCTTCCCGCTCATCTCCAGCCTCTTTAGCGGTGGCGGCCCCGCGACGCCGAGCATCGTCTACGACAACCCCAAGGGCGCCTACACGCTGGGGCGGACGACGCCCAAGCTTAACGTCAAGTATTTTGTTAACCCCAAGGAGGTTGAGTCGTTTTCCAAGGGGAAGCTCAGCCAGCTGGACCAGACGGCGGAGAACAACCTGGTCAGGACGCTGCGGTTCGAGTGCGAGAATGAGATGATGGCAAGGCAGAGGATGTACGATGCGGCGAGCGGGTGGTTCTTCCAGGACCCGGATAAGATGCGCAGGGCGGACGAGTTCGAGATGCCTTCGTGTAAGAGACTGGAGACGTTCCGTGTGGGCAGGTAATTAATGCGTTTGGGGGGATCTGTCTGTCTGGTGATTACATCTTTAAGAGGAATAGAGCGGATGAGAGAGGTGGGGGAGGACGCAAAGGCTTTGTATGAAATGGAAAGGGAGCTCGGAGAAGCTGAGAGACGCGCCCGCTTCACTTTTTCTCCGTTTGGCGTTTTCTGGGGAGAACTCTTTGAGATTCATAGCATTGTTGGGAAACTCCGCGTCGGGCATTTTCTTTCTGCCTTTGGTCCCCTTCTTCGTCCTTCTGTCGTCCTTTGCGATGCAGATGCAGTGTTCTTTTCATATATTCCTTCCCCTCTTCACGCCCTGCGATGCCTTTTTGTCTCTCACCCTCTCACCTTCTCATCGCAGATCAAGAATCGACATGTTACCCTGGCTATCATGATTACTGCCTCTCTTTTCTTCAACCCATGTCTGGCCTGTCCCGCACCTTGCTGAAGTGGAGGTCCCTTTCTCGCAGTGATCCACAACCCCAAACTTCGCCTAAGTCGGTCGGCGTCGGCCCTTTGCTGCCCACAGATTCACACGATGTGCTCGACTTGTTTCTTAACCCCCACAACATCGTGGGACCCTCAACCAGGAGCTCCAGCAAGCTTCCCTTCTCAACTATCCCCGATGGCACAATTGGCTAGCGCGTCAGACTGTTAATCTGGAGGTTGGTGGTTCGAGCCCACCTCGGGGAGTTCTTCAGTGGTTAGAGTCCACATATTCGGTTGAGAGCTGTTCTTTTGCATCTGTTCTGTTTTGTTTTGCACTGATTTCGTGTTCTGGTGATTCTGGCTGAGAGGCCATGTCAAATTTTGCTTGAAGTGAGAAATTCGGTTGGTTTGAAGCCACCGGCTTGTTTTGCTGTGGGACTTGCATCTATTTGGGGTGGTTATGTTGATGATGTACTGGGTACTATGAATGAGTAACTTGTTTCGAGTTCTCAGATACCTAACCTACCTAATCTTTAGCAAAATACTGCCAGAAACATACTGTGAGATGAAGAGACGCCTCTATGGAAGGGCAATCCAGAGTTGTTTCATTCCGACATTACAGTGGGCGACATAATGTACAATTTAAGCTGCGAGTCGGAGCCCAGACGTGCGCGTCTTTTCTCTATGTCTGTCTCATCAAATCCAAGGCACAGATCCAGAGCCCTGAGGAAAGATAGCGGGCTAATAATATTTGGATGCTTTCCCCAGAACTTAGTCGTGCGCCAGTGCTATAGCACTGTCACTTGGAGACCGCATAGTAAGAAGAAGCTACTGCCGTTTCATGCATCTTTCACGGCGACGACGGAAGCGAAGGAAAACGCGATTTCTCTTGCTGCTAGACCCTCTTTGGAGAGCAAGATGTCCCGAGCGAGTTGGGGTGATTGATTGATCAATTCCCGAGAGTCACTACTGCGCCCGAAATATCTCATATCTCAGCCTTCGTTAGAGATCGAGGACAATTATCGAGCTTGTTTCCCGCCCCCCCCCTCCGTTTTTCTTTGATAACACTCTCTCGCTGATATAATCAAATATCGTGCTGTGTAGCTACGTAAGCGTTAGTTGGTCTCTTGGATCATCGCATGTCAGGACTATCGCGACAAAGCTTTTCTCACGAGGTCTCAGTATAGCAAGCGGCGTGACTTGAGTTGGACGGTTTGATTCTCTTAAAACCCCTTCTACAAATCCGCCACCAGAGCTCCCGTTAGCGATCTCTTTTTAATGATACTTTGACAGCTGACCGTGCTGCCGTTGATTCCGGAGAAGAGATCTCGGCACAAAGCGGCGTCAGTAGTAAGTTCTGCACGCCTCAAAGGTAAATATCTCCCGGAGCCGGACCGCCGGGACGTTACCTATGGGCATCTGCGATGTACCCACAAGAAGGGCAGAGCGTATCTTCACGAGATATAGAAGGCGCCACCTCTGATTATACCCACATTGACAGAATGATCTATGTGGTTGCTTAGCTTTACTCATATAACGACGCCATCGGCGGAGAAATGTGAGAGACCAGTGTGCCGAATAATCTCACATCTCAAATCCAAGATCTCACTATAGATATATTACCCTGGAACGTCAAAGGTCTGTGGATGCCACGGGAATACTTTGGGAATGGATCGACTGCCGTCGTGATTGATGCCGCCCGCCGTCTTCCAACCTATCCCTATCCTTCCGGCCCGCCGGGTCATCGACTGCTCCGAGAGCGACACCTCAGACTTGTGCCTTGCTTCCCGAGAGGAAAATACCCGAAAAAGTAGGTAGGGCTAGCTAATTGGTCACAATCTTTCGACCCCGGACTCGGAGCAGGGCAAAGTTGGTCTCGTGACTCCTGGGCCTCGCAAGTCTCTAGTCCTGACAGCCATGGGGAGCATGCTGGGCTCCAGGCGCTGGAGAGGAGGACAATTGTCGGGATATGCCCGGTTATCAAGGGTTGAAATGAGAGGAAGACCATTACTTTGTACAGGACCCAAAGTGGGAAAAGGTTTGTTTAAAGTTCACACTGTTATATCGAGGCCTCTGTTGACTAAAAACTCTTTGCAACCCCAAGTCGGGACACTACTCAAGAGAGAGCATTTCTAGTTGATACCGTGAGGCTCATCTTGATGTATATGAGTAAGAGTAAGAGATGAATTGATGCCAAGCATAATGGAAGGATGGAAAGGTGTCAATGAAAGAACTTTGCAATTTGGCGTGTCCGAGTAAGCAAAAGGAGGCAGATGCGTTAAAACTCTCCTCATCTAGCGTCAAACCGTCCCATGCGGCCACGAACGGGCTCTATGGGGCATGTTCGAGAGAGATGCAGTGCCGAGGGAAAGAGTGGACTTAGGGTGGAGGTGAGATCGGAAATCGAGATAAAATCGAGCGACATTGATTCCCGGAACAAGGTTCACAGGCTTAAACGATGGCCTTAATGTTAGTAAAGCCACCCATAATGCTCCGAACGAGATTCATGCTTCGAAGGGGGGGGGGGGGGTCTCCTCTCATGTACGCCTGCCGTGGCCGGCCTCGTCAATGGTAGGAAACCTCGGTAAGGAGGTTCCCAAAGCTGGACGTACAGCGTCGGCGACTCCCATGGGCCATAAGGCCTTGTGGTAGCAGCCGGCGTGTCCCCCGTCTTTGACCCCGTCTTGAAACGGAGGCTCGGGCCTTGACGAGTTGCAAAAAGGGCTGAGGGTTGTGTGAACTGTGGGTGGGCTGTATGCGCGTATACAAGCCTCCGAGCGAACATAGCTTTGACACTAACTGGTGAGGCGTCACCAAATAACAGCTGGCTGTTAAGGCATCGTGGGCACTCACGCAGCTAGACGGCGGAGGCGTTGGTGTTGGACGGAGAGGCGGGGTCTGTCCCTGTCCGTTAGAGTCACGGGCACGGAGCACCGGACGGCGGGCTGCGTCATTGCGCGGGGAGCACCCATGGGAGTCGGGAGTACGTACCGTCTGGTGTGTGGCTGAAGCTGTGGACGCCACAACTCTACCCCACTGGGTAACGGCGCGGGCACTTCTTTTCAAGGGTACCGTTTCTTGCTTTTTTCTATTTTCCACCTGTTGTCTCTGGATGTTCCATGATGATTGATTCAATCTGGTCTCGGCCGTCTGCGTCAAGCTGTAGATGTAGGTATGGATCGACGAGGACGGCTCTTTCATTTGCTGCCCAGTCGTATCTCGGTATCGCAATGTCGTTCACTGAGCATCAGACAGCAGGCGGGTGGCTGGCGGTGTACTGCGCGCGTGCTGATCGAGTGGACGCGCAAGCTTTCGGCGACAGGCTGTGCCATCTTACCCGATAGTTTTGTACTGATTGACGTGAAATTATCGAGGACAGCTGCGAATGGTTCATGGCCATTGTCGTCGTCACCATGCGCGTACCGAAATTTGCCATGTCCGCTAAAGAATCCCCATGTGTACGAATTGTGGTTTGTCTTATCTTCCAATGATGGTGGCCATTGGCCCGTGACATTTTGGCCCTATGCGAGCTGCAATGCTTTGCTATGTTGTAGTAGGTAGGTCTCATATGATTCCTGCATGTATGCTGTTGCCTGGCGATTCCGCTTTGTGTAGTCGGTAAGCGACTCGAGGAGGTATCCAAGGATATTCCCACGGGGCGAAGTCTTGCCAGGGCCAGTCAACGAGCATGGTGGAATTGCCGCTGGCTCTTTGCCGCAGGTGTATGTCTTCTCACCATGCCTTCAGCGCTCTACAGACTGCGGGAGAGCTTCTGGTGGCAGCTGCGGTACCCTGTCCGCGTAACTCGAGGTGCTTGTGCCGCGCCGGGTCTGCGTCCAGGGGCCCACTTGGTCGTGCCGCAGCGGAGAGGCGATGGTACGGAGTTAGTGGTGAAGCAAGGCGGATGGTGTTGTCGAGGTCCATGCCTTGCTGAAAACCCAGTATCAGGGATTCGAGGCAGCAGTGGTAGGTGCTGAGAAGCGTTTGTCCCAACTCTTGCGCAGTTCCTTTGGCATCCCTTCCATCTAGTCAAGTGATGTGCGAGATGAAATTGTCGGGTCCTAGTTCTAAACGTCGAGGTGCAGTGCTGGGGAAGAGGTTGGCGGGAAGAGTCTCTAGAAGAGATGGGGGATCCGGGACGAAAAAAGACGTCAAGTCAGCAGTACGTTCCCAAATACGAGTAGAAGTACCTAAGGTACCTTACGGAGTACCTCTCCAGTTAAGGTACCTCAAACTTGGGAGGAGGTGGTGGTGGGGGATTTTGGAAGGAGCGAAACCTGAAAGTGTAAGGCGCACCGCCACTTCAATGTGCGTGCCCGCCCGCAATCCGCGAGCGTTGCGCCGTGTGCTTGCGTCCCGACGGGTTGCGTGGGCTTTCTCCGTTACGACGGCTGCTGAGGTGTACGAATACAGTGCAGTGATGCTCCTGGTGTATTCGTCCAGTGTCTGCACTAGCACAGGTACCTTGTCAGGGCCACTGCTTGCTCGTTGCCGCCGCAGCTGCTGCAGGCTGGTCTTGGCTCCCATTGAGGTGCTCTTTTGGCTTCCCAGCAAGTTCCGTTCCAAGGTTCCTCAGACTCTCTTTCCTGCAACCTCCAGACATTTGGCTTCATCCTTCTCGGCAGCCTGTATTTCACAGCGTTCGGGATACACCGGGCTTCAAGAGCCTGCCGTTTGATTACCCATTCTGTCAAACGGTTCCGGTATTGCCGTTGGTCGATTGTCTCTTGTTGGCTGCTGATCGCTTCCAGTGCAATAATTGAGAGGTTTCTATTCACAGCCCACTACGAATGACGACACCCACTGGAGCTTCAATCTCACCTTCACCTACGCCCTCGTTCACGCCTAGCCGCTCGCCGAACACCCTCGACCACACCTGCAGCTCTCCCGGCCGCAGAATTTCGCCTAAATCGAAGATATTCTGATTTCGCGTTGCTTCTATTTGCTTGCGACGAACGACAGCCGCTCTCACGAATTCATTCCGTTACAACCACCCAAGTCCGAGACCTCGGGACCCTCGTCGACATGGTTACCCGCAAGCCCGTCCCCAACGAGACCTCCCTCGACACCAACGCTGCTGTCCCGCGGGTTGAAGACATGCGGAAAGAGCTTTGGAGCGCAACCGATTCTCCTTCCGACGTAGACAGTGTTTGGGACGATGCTCCTCAGCAAAGGGGCGCTGCAGCTCTGAACCAACAATCAATACCCCAAGACGTTCCCGAATCTCTGAAGCCCGGCGGGGTCACGGCACAGGCCCCCGAGATGACCAACGGAGTATGGAATGACGTTGACGGCCACCAACCTCAAATCGCCAGCGAGACAAGAAGCGAGTCCAACGAGATCCCATTGGTATTACGGCCAGGAGCGCCACCTTCACGGTCCGACACAAACCCGTTCAAGCGCAAGGAAGTCCGCGACGACTCAAATCCAACATCACCGCCCACCAACGGGACCCCGACGATGCCTCCGGCGCAGCCGCTCTCGCAGATGAGCACCGGCGAGATCAGTAATAATCCATGGCAACCTGCCCTCGACCAGCATGCTCAGAGAGCTGCCGCCGCCAGCGCCCAGCAGTCTTTGCGTACTCAAAATAGCGGAGAGTCTGAGCGCGATGCATGGGCTGCAACGCAGGAGCCAAAATTGCCCGCTATTTCGACCTCTCCAGCACTGCTATCGCTCCCCTCAGAACCTACCTCACCGGCATGGGACGACTTGCCGGAGAATCAGAGCAAGAAACTACTGGAATTGCCTGTAGCCTCCATTCCCAACGATGCAGTTGCAGACCAGAATGCCTGGGACGACGAAGGCGGACAGAACAAGGGCAAGGGAAAGGCCCCCGCCCCCGCTTCCGTTATCCCTCCTCCTACAGTCGAAGACGGGCCTATGGATGATTGGAATCTCATCGACGTCGAGCCGCCCGCTGGCCCTCCGCCGGGCAGATCGCAAATGCCGAATCAAACGCACGACAGGCCCGATCAGGTCTCCGACGACAAGGTAGCGCCAGCATTGCCTCCGCGGAACGACGACGAAGAGCAACCTCCGCGCCAACCCCCACGCCCTGTAGACGGCAAGGCCGAAACATACCAGATCAAGAACGTCCGTTGGCACGATCACAGCGCGGATCAGAACCCGCGAGTTTCGCCCATCCTCGTACAGAATGCTAATGGCCCTTGCCCTCTTCTTGCCTTGGTCAACGCGCTTACACTTACAACTCCATCGTCTCTATCAGAAACGGCCTTGATAGAAGTCCTGCGCTCTCGAGAGCAAATCAGTCTCGGGTACTTACTGGACGCGGTCGTCGATGAGCTGATGAGGCGAACACAAGAAGCTTTGCCTGATGTATCTCAGTTGTATGCCTTTTTGAAGGGTCTTCACACAGGAATGAACGTGAATCCACGTTTCGTTCCCACGCCTGAAATCATCAAGGCCTTTAAGCGCACTTCCTTGACTCATTTACACCCGACCGAACGCGACGACTTGATTCCTGGAACCTTCGAAGACACTAGAGAGATGGCGCTCTATGCTGCTTTTGCTATTCCGCTTATCCACGGGTGGCTGCCCACTAAGAATGATCCGGCTTACCCTGCTTTTGAGCGCCAGGCCGCCTCTTTTGAAGACGTGCAGACGCTCCTGTTCCGAGACGAGGAGCTGCAGGAAAGGTTGGGGGAACTGACGGAAGAGGAGGAGCTGGTATACTCAGACATACAGTCGATCAAGGCGTTTCTGGAGACTTCAGCCACACAGTTAACGCCATCTGGACTCGAGGTCATCACAAAGGCCATGAAGCCCGGCTCTTTTGCCATTCTGTTTAGAAACGATCACTTTTCAACACTGTACAGGCACCCTGCTACACAGCAACTCCTGGTCCTCGTCACCGACGCAGGCTACGCCACACACGACGAAATTGTTTGGGAATCCCTAGCCGACGTGAATGGCGAACGCACGGAATACTATTCTGGCGATTTCAGGATCGTGGGCGGGGAGCAACCGCAAGGGAACTCCAGGGGACAACCTACTTCGAGGAACAATGCCCATAACCGACCGAGAATCGACACGAGTAGTGCCAATGAAGGGGGCTGGACTACTGTGCCCGGCCGCGGCCGCAACAAGCATCTCGAGGCTCCGGCGCAAGGTGACGAGATGCCCCTGTCGCCCAATCATGAGCAGGAGGATCGAGATCTTGCCCTCGCGCTTCAGTTACAGGAAGAGGAAGAACAACGCCATCGGGCAGAGCAGTCGGCTCGCCGGCGCGAGAGTCAGCTTAGCGAGCAGTATATCGAGCAGCAGGCCAGATTGCAACAAGGGCCCACGACTAGACGTGCAGCCGACAGGCAGGCTGCCCGAACCGGCACCGGTGCACGCAGCAACAGCAATGGCAACTCGACTGCTTCTCGCGGTAGCCGTCGGAACTCTAGCACTAACGTGAGCAGTGCTGCAGTACCGCCCACGTCGGGTCGGCAGCCTGGGCAACCGCCGCAGCTGGTGCGACCACTGGTTCCGCCGACGGTTCCTGCTCGTCGACAAGGCGTGAATCGGCCGGCTGACGAAGGCATGGATGATGCCCCGCCGACGTATGAGCAGGCGCAGGCGGCTGCCAAGTATGAACCACCTCCTGGGCACCCTCACCATCATGCGAGCAGTCCTGTCAATAGACAAGGCAACGGGGGTGCTGGACCGTCATTCCCGCTGTCGCCCTCGCGGCCAGGTATGGGCGGCGGTCGCGGGCGCGTGCTGGGACCCGGCGGTGTTGTAGGAAGTTCGCAAGGTGGGAGGGAAAGGGATTGCATCGTAATGTGAGCAGAAGAAGCTCCGGTGCTTTTTATGATTGCGGCGTTTTCGTGTCATTTGAATTCTTGCGCAGAGCATGGACAGACTTCGACTCTGACAAGCAGAGTTGACAAAGCTTTTTGCTGTACAAACATTTCCTCTCAGCGGGCGGCGTTGGAAATAGTGGCTTTGTAGGATCGATAGCTGATGAATGGAAGAAGAATCATGGCCCTACAGCTTATGTTGGGATCTCTAAATATTCTTGTGAAATAAGTCAACAAATAATTAAGGGACTTCTACTCCGTAGTTTTTGACATGTTCCTGAAGCTGTGGTGGAGGCTGCAAGGGGTAGCTGTACAGGATGCTCAGGAACCTCCCCGATTTGCAGAGCAGCTCTTGCAACCCCACCAATTGCTAAGGCAAATGGGGAAAGCGGTCTGGCAAGCCGTGGCTTCAACGCGTCGCAGGCCCAAGACCCGGAGCTCCCGCCGCCAATTCCACCCAAGCTGCTTGATGTCATTGATTTTGTGTCGCACTTTCCACATACCTACAATCAACGGTGGAAAGCTTGGGAAGGAGGGAAAGCGCACCACGCCACAATACCTTATTCTTCTGTATTTCCTTGACTCGTTCTACTCTCTGCTACTTTATTTCCTCTATTTCTCTGCAATTGGATCGTCCTTTACCAGTCGAGAAGGAACCGAAAATGCCCCTGATTGAGGGGTGGCTCCCGCCGACGCGGGAGAACTGGCAGACTATCACTACTGTGTGGCAGCTTTCCTGGCCTGTGGTATGCAACAACAACTCCCTTGAGCCATTTGGTCAAAACAATCCTGGCTAACCTTTGCTGACTTTTCGATGTTTGTATAGTTCGGCTCTCTGCAGTATGTCATCAATTGGTACGGCATGGGCAAGACCTCGGTCACGAGCCGCCTCAACATCCCCGGCCGCCTGGCGTGGTTCCTGATGGAGATTCCGGGCGTCACGACGTTGTTGTACATCATGAACACCCTGCCGCGACAGGTCGGGATTGACGATCTGCCGTGGCAGAATAAGGTGCTCGCTGGGTTATTTGTACGATCTCCCGCCCCTCTTCCTGATTGCCTATCACTAGATCTACGTCGACTGACAAGTGGGCGCCACTGCAGACCATCCACTACGCCTACCGTGCCGTCCTATTTCCGATCCTCCAACCCTCAATGTCCCCGATCCATGTCGTCGTCGCCTCTTCGGCCGTCCTCTTCCAGCTCATGAATGCGACATGCCTGGGAAGCTATCTCGCCGCCTACGGCCCCACCACAGCCTCAGCATGGGACTCGGCCCTCGGCCGCGGCGGCATCGCGCAGTTTGTCATGGGCATTGCCGTCTTCTACGTCGGCTTGACGCTCAACTACTTCCACGACGAGGAGCTGCGCGAGATCCGCAGGACGGAGCAACGGCGCCAGGCCAAGATTGCGAAGCAACAGAAGCTGGATGGTAATACAGATATGGCAAAGGGCGTGGATAAGCATTATCGGCTGCCTGACACAATGCTGTTTCGGTATATGCTGTACCCGCATTACTTTTGCGAGTGGGTGGAGTGGTTTGGGTTCTGGATGGCGAGCGGGTGGAGCGTACCCGGAAGGGCGTTCTTTTTGAATGAGATCTTTGTCATGTTTCCGAGGGCGAGGAGCGGGAGGCGGTGGTATGTTGGGCAGTTTGGGGAGGAAAAGGTTGGGAAGAAGTGGACTATTATTCCGGGGGTTTATTGAGGGTCTGGCTCATTGGATAACTGAATTCCATGTGTTGATTCGCCTGAAGGGCTGTAGACGCTATTCAAGACTTTTGTCACTGTTTGTGCCCAAGTGTATCTCCGAACGATGGTCAGGATAAGCTTTTCGACGACCAGCGAGGGTTCAATCTCTGCATCTCTTGCTCTCAGGGTACCTACCTGTCTTCGACTTCATAGAGGCCGGTATACCCGCCTTGCCGCGGGTCACGGATCTGTGTCTTTACGGCTGCGACTTTTCCACAGGCAGCTTCGTACACAAAAGGACTTCTTTCTATGCTTCCCGGCGCTGCGTACCCTTACCATCGGAGCGAGATGGAAAACGGGGCTCCCGAACGACGCTCACGCCTTTGCGCCGTTTGCAGACACGTTGGAGACGTTTACTTGGTACGATATGGGAGCCTCGTCGCCCTGGCCGACGAGGGATCTCTCAATATTGGTGTACCCTCTACAGGCGCGGGGGCTCAGGGCGGTAAAGCACCTCAAGGTGACGAGTCTGCTCGAGCTCATGGGCGGCGAAACGGACGGCTGCGCGGCTGGAAAGACTGTTGAGACGATTGAGCTTCTCGATGGCATCTTTGACTTTAGACATGTGCCTCAGCTGCTGACGAAAGATGGGAGATAGAACGGACTTGATGAATCTGCTTCGCCGGAGTCTTCGTCATATTATTCTTCGTCTTCCCTAAGCTCGGAGGAGACGATTTCGGAAGAGATGGAGATGCTGCTCAATTTCCTGTTCAGACAATGTCGGGCTGTGTATAGGCAGGTTAGAGGTCTTGACATTCGGGTCATTGATGATAATGATGACACGTATAGAACGGACGAAGAGAGAGACTTCTTGCGCAAGCTTGCACTGGATTATGTCGGGATTTTCAAAGAGGAACTTGACGTCGTCTTGTTGCAGGGTTTGTCTGGTTGAAGGATTCGAGGGAACGCCGAGATGAGGATATGTACTGGCTGCCATGGACCCCGTATTTAGTTCGACAATAGATACCTGTATCAATGATGACATCCGAAGAGCATAACTCACCAGATCTATGCACATGAGACATGGGTGATTAGTGGGCTTGCTTGCGATTGAGAATAACGGTGGAGATGGCATCCCCAGGGGACGCGTTCTAAGCCTCCAAGGTTACCATCCAGTCTCGGCAAAGACGATGCCCCAGCCAACTGCAATAGAGATCAACTGCAATCAAAGGGTATCAGTAATAAGTAGTCGAAGCACTGAACCTTGTTATCTAGAAATCAACGGAGTTCCTACTTAGGGTGCAGGGCCGCTGTAGGCAACCTCCACAACTATGTATGTGTCGGAAAGAGCTCAGCACCGCCTACCTTGAGGGTTAAGTCAGAGCATGATTATTAATTGTACTCATCTTTTCCGATATAAGAACGTACGTATCCTATCGAAGGTCGACATAAAGCCAACCATTTGCAATAGAACCAACACACGGATCTCAAGACACATCACCGAAATGTAATCTTTTCATTCACATCCGCAGAGCCAGAATACCTTGTCAGATAAGATGGTTCCGGTCACATTGAATTCTCTGCCATATGAGCTGCTGCTCATCGTTGCAGAGAAGCTTGTCGAGGACGAACTTTCCCCTAGTTACAAGACCGAGTGTACATATGAGACTTCGACCCAACAACTAGATCGATACTGGAGAATTTCGCACCAGCTCGGGAACCGCTACCCTATCGAACACGAACAAATGCCATTTATACCGGACAATGGAGCGGGCCTCGTCAGTCTAGCGAAAGCCGGGAATCGGCGGCTGTTAGGAGCTTGTTACGAGGTTCTCTACAAGAACCCTATTTCTGGGCGAGGCTTCCTTGCCTTTGGGGATACTCTGGAATACATCAACCTAGCATGCCAAAACGAAATGCAACACCTAAAAATGCTTGAGAGCCCCAATGATGGACTTGAATGGGATCGCATGTTGAGAAAAGGTCTATTTGCATATGAAGATGTCACCTGCAGCGACTTTGCCAAGGCAATCTTGTTGAAGCTACAAGGCTTGAAGAGCCTCAATATCTCCTGCTATGAATCATACATTATACCGGTTTGAATCCCAATGCTGTCGTCTATGCCTCCATTGAAGCACTTGGCACTGAGAGATTGTCTCAGACGAGGGACACAGTTTCCCTTATCTCCCCTCACTTGTCGAGGCGCACTTTGACCATTGCGAGTTACCCGAAAACGAAATTTTGAACGCATGCCTTCGCTCAAAGTGCTCGTCATTGACAATGACTACTGCCTTGATGATGAGAATACAGAAGTCTGCGATGTAAACCCTCTTGCCGAAACCGTCGAGACACGTGGCTGGCTCGTCGAAGGGCCTGCACATTGTTATCATTATCCTTTACGCCAGTTTCGGCGGTTGAAGCATCTCAAGGTGAATCTGATTCGTGATCTTTTTGGAGCACTCAGATACAAAGAACTTCCGAGTTACGACGGTTTTCCGAATCTTGCGGCGACTGTCGAGACCATGGGGTTCACCTCGCGAATAACCTCGCGTGTAACCGGTGGAGCCCCAAATGCACGTGCCCTGTACTATTGGAATTGGCAAAAGAGTATGGAAGAGCTTCGGTACACCATGAATATGATGGGGAGTGTTGTCGGAAAGAATGGCGGAAGGTTCGGCTTATTGGCATTAGCATGCTCGCTCTTTCCTACCGCCGCGAGTGTTCAGCTTATGATGGTCTCCAGCTTCTCGAGTGTGCCAAAAGGCGCCTTCAGCAGGAACTTGGTATCGAGTTGTTGATTTCATAAGGCTAAAGGGCTCTCGACTGCTATGTTATCGATCAGAAGGTCTGGGCGAACGATGTCTCGTGCACATCATGGACGGGCGACGTTGTAGTGGAAGCAGAGAACTTTCGAATAAGACAGCAGCCCCGAAATTAGGCACCGCAAGAAGCAAGGCTTAAGATTTAGAAACGATAATAGAGAAATTTGCAATCATTGCGTCACTTCAGAAGCAAGGACGCAACAAGTACCGCGATTTCTCTCCCTATCACGAAAGCTGCCAACCTCGCATTTGAACGTCCCACAGAAGCGCTTCCATGCAAATCCTTGAGAACAACCAGCCTGGACTTGATCGTCAGACATCGGACGCAGAATGTAAAATGCACGTGAGGAACTGCCTTGCCGATTACTACATGTGGTACACGATCGAATGACGCTTGGAAACGAGAAGCGAGGCCGCTGGAAAACACCGACATGTTTCATGATAAACACCAAAGAACGAGTCTAATCAGAACGAAGGGGCCGATCCTGACCTGCTACAAACTCTAAGCTAGTCATGCAGAGCTGGCCTTGCAGTTTTACCCCAACATTTATAAGACGTCGAGGAATCGCAGCGGCGTCTCGAATCGGGGAAATGAAATTTCAAATCCCCGAATCCCAGGACTTGATCGTCTCCTCCAAAAAAAAAAAAATCGCTTCCGACAATGCATTTGACATATCCCGACCTCGTGCGACGGCTCTACGACCTTGAACGTCTTGCTGAATCCCCATTGCCCGGAGAGCGCGGCGGGTGTATGTCGAGCTATGACCGGGCCTCACGCTATGACCCAAAGGAAGACAAGTACATTGACTGGGACGCCAACGACGATGGGAGAGGCATCATTCGCGAAGAAGGCGAGTGGGTAGTCGCCTTTGAGCAGCAGGGTCCAGGAGTCATCTGGCGGACCTGGTCCGCGATGCCGGATGTCGGCCGTATCCAGATCTTCATTGACGACGAGCACGATGACAAGCCTATTGTGGACATGCCCTTCCGGGATCTTTTCGATCGGTTTCAAGGGATGCCACACAACTTCCCCTCGATAACGCCCACTCTGTCAAGAGGACGTAACTGCTTCATTCCCATTCCGTACAACAAGTATGCCAAGATCCGCCTCGGACCTGGCTGGGGAGCGTATTATCATTTCACTTACACCTCATTCCCCAAACACACTACCCTTCCGCACTTTGACGGCAACTTTGATCGGGAGGCTTGTCTGGCATTGGCCGCAGCTGACCGCCAACTGAGTCAACGTGGTTGGTCCGCACTGCCTCGGTCAAAGGGCGACACGATGGAAACATTGACTGTCACCATCAAACCGGGTAAGAGCCATACTGTTCGGGAGTTGACGGGCAACCGAGCAATCACTGGCATGCGCGTGGTGCCGTTGGACCTTGTCCAGGACTCTCATCACGTCGCTCAGATTCTCCGGGAGCTCGCTATCCAGATCACTTGGGATCATGACAAGTCTCCAAGTGTCTGGGCACCACTGGGTGACTTCTTTGGTAGCGTTCCGGGCATCCAGACCTACCGCTCCTTGCCTCAGGGCTCAACAGACGGGGGTGGTTTCTACAGTCACTGGTTCATGCCATTCTCCGATCGCGCTGAGATCAAGCTGGTCAATGATGGCAAGAAGGAGCAGAAGCTATTCTTCACCATCTGCCACCGCCCACTGGAAAAGTCTGCGAAGCACATGCTTCGGTTCCACGCCAAGTGGCACCGAGATGCCTTTCTCGAGAAGCCGAAAAAAGAAGGCCGCGAAATCGACTGGCCTTTATTAATGTTAGATAACGGCCCTGGAAGATTCTGCGGCGTGCAGATGCACGTGTGGAACCGCTGGAAAGATCCCAAGGTCCCATCAAAGGACTGGTGGTACGGCGTCGGCGGCGACAAGTCTATCGACTGGTGGTGGGGCGAGGGAGACGAGAAGTTCTTCGTCGACGGCGAAAAGTTCCCGTCAACCTTTGGCACCGGTTCAGAAGATTATGTGGGCTACGCGTGGGCGGCCGAACCGCCATTTCCGACTTTTGACAGCGCTTATGCCTGCCAACCTTACATTGAGCTTGATGCTAACGGGCATACATCAGTCTGTCGCTTTCACGTGTGCGATGACGTGCCTTTTCACAAAAGCTTCGAGGCCTACATTGAGAAGTATAAGCCCAATGACTGGGGCTCGGGCAACAAATGTCTATACGCCGTGGTTGCTTACTGGTATCAGAAGGCTGGGGGCCATGATGCGTACGAGAGCGTGTCAGTAAAGGAGCGCTATCTCCAAGTAAAGGGAAACTCCGAGCGAGTCGGTGACGGAGGTGGGGAAGAGTTATGAAATCCTATCGGATCATGTAGTTAAGTGTGCTGTCTCCAATTGACGATACGAGCTGTACGCAGTTTACAGTGGATTACGACGCTGCTCTCTTCCAGTTGCTGTATTATTCTTAGTGTCACACAAACTCTGGAGTTAATTTCTTCAGACTTTGTTATGCCCACTTGTCAGTCGAATGTGAGTGGACCACTAGGTACAGGGCGTCAAGGGTCACCGGCGCAAACCGAACGGCGAGCAGAAACTCAAATCCAGGGAAATTGAATGGCCGCTGTCGGCATTTCATAAGTAACAGATTGAAGATGAGCAAACCTTCGCTCTCGTTTCTCACGTCATCAAATTTTCCGCGTAAACCTTTCTGCATCATGTCACCAAACAATTCTCATCTCCACTGATACGACCACACAACCAAAGCTGCGTCGTAGTGATCTCGCTGCCACCATGGAACCGTTCAGATGACTTACAAGATGATAGCAGACACCTCACCGATGATGGGTTTCATCAATCCTCCGTTCCATCCACACTAGCCCGCCAGTCTGGGAAACCGAGCGTCACTAGCATGCCTCTGCTTGTTTGCGGCGACCAAGTGTCAGACAAGCTTTCCGGCGGGAGGGCAAGTGGATGCTTGAGCGACGGGGTAGCCGCGCGGATGGGGCGTTCTGAAGCTTAGCAGCCCCGCAAGAATCGACTAAAATCAACCCGGTAAGGCAAAGGGATGCGACACAACATGGGGGGACCCTGAGTTCCATCACCACGGACTGTCATTTTCAGTTGTACATAGTTCCGATGGTCCAGCTCATGACAAGTGGCAATAGAGAAGGATATTTCGCCTGTGGGGGAGACGCAATCACGGCTAGCATAGACCCATCCAAACGGCTTCTACGGAGGGCGAGCGTTTCAGCGGTAAAGTTAATATCATGAGTTGAACCCCAGCAACTCACATTTTCGAAACAGTCAATGTCTATCGGCATCTATGATGAACTGACGATAAGGCATAGCCCCTCCGACATAGTCTATCTATCCTGAACTAGAAATCGGACAAGCATTTGTAAGTTGATAGGCGGACCATGCTGCAGAAACCTACTGGCCCGGTCGGCGTAGAACAGGCATGTTGGTGGCTATGGTATAAAGGGGAAGTGAGCGCCATCCCAACCACCGGCGAACAGTTGACTTTGGTGGAATAACTTCCTTGGGATGCATCCTTTTGTGGGAGGATAATGGACGACGGCACACCATGATATTGACGAAACCTTTTCCTCCGTCGGCCAGAGAGGCTCGGTGGTTGTACTTGAGCTGTCTGAGTGGTATTGTGGTGTTGGTGGTGTTCTTCAGCCATACTCTGTGGCCACATTTCGATATTCACTCTTATGACTTATCTGGAGAAAGGACTGGAACGCAAACAAGTCATACAAATCCGTATAACCAAGATGGCGCAATTGACGAAGAAGAGGATGAGATGTATTATCTTGGATCGAAAAAGAACGAAACATCAGAATCACATAGGCTACAGGATATGAAGTACGCCGTCATTCTCCCAACATTTGTGAGTTCCGGTCATTGGGGGCGAAGAGATAATAATTGCTAATCGAGCGTAGAGTGGACACATGCCTCTTGCGATGGAGTTCCTGCAGTCTTATATGTGCCTTTGTACAGATCAGTCAAAAATCGATTTCCACGTCATCGTGTCAGATTCAAATGAGGTCGTAATGTTCCAAGATGCGATGAAAAAGTTGAAGCCCTGTGGGCCAACCTACAGCATTTTCCCGACGCCAGCGATGAACATCAACGGGCCGAAACCGAAAATCAACATCATCAACATGTTCGACATTCTACCCCCCGTCTTTCACTCCATGACGACGGGGAAAATCACAGGCAATGATACGTCGGCGCTTCTAAAAGAACGTGGAAAATACCAATACCAGACAATCAAGAAGATGTCAGCAGCACTGGAGCTCGATTACGACTACGCGCTCTGGCTGGACTCCGAGGCTATCGCCGTGCAGCCGTTCAGCATGCGCCAAACTTTTGATGCTTACGTCAAGGACCCTACGATTTGGAGGTCGAGAATGACCAATGACGATTTCATGCGGAGACTCATCGGTGCCGCGGCAAACGTTCTAGATCGATCGATGGACTCATTCGGACCCGCCTTTTGGAACCTGGAGAGTGTGGAATGGATTTTCGAGAAGAACATGATCAAGGATCTGGTTCAGTATGTTGAAAAGGTTCAAAAACAAGACTTTTGGACTGCGTGGGTCACGCATGGTGGACCGTTCGAGGTGAACCTTCTCAACATGCATATCCAAGCACGAAAGCTGGAGACGACGGACCCCCTATTCACCCAATACCGGATCATCGAGACTGAACGAGAGATGCAGAAATACGGCATGGGTAAGTCATGCATTCCAACCATACTCCAGCCAGCTATTATCTATGACTGAGGACTGATCGTTTCAAAAGTTGAACCAGCAAAAGCTGTGATCGACGCCATGACAGGAACTGGCCTCCTGGAGAGGGGCTACAAGTTGTTGGCAGTCCCAGAAATAGTACCAAACTTTTCCTCCATGCTACGCGAAAATGGTCAGACTCTCTTTCGACTCGACGATCTCGAGGTTGGTCCACCAGAAGCCATCGATCGGTTTCTGTTGGAGACGCCGATAAACATCATATGTTCGGGAGCTCCGTCGTTGCATAGTTGGTGGGAAGAGCGGAAGAAGAGCATTTAGATAGCGAGTTTTGATCAATAATACCCCATTTGTTTTGTTACTTCAATTCCATCTTCATTAGGTTGTGCCATGAACCTATGATTCTATTAGAGAGGCCTCCTAGCATACAAATTATTCACGATAGCATCGCGCCCGCTATAAGAGACGAGAGGGAAGTGCTCTGTGGTTATCCTAATTCCTCGGCCTAGCACCTCAAAGTAACGCGAGACACATGCCCAACAGTGCTATTGCCAGATGACACAGCGCCCGTCACGTACAAAACCTTGCGAGGGTGGTGCAAGTCCAGAGCTACCGAAGATGCAGCTCCGAGAAGGGGCGAGGATGCAACGACGGTCTTTCCTCCGTGTACCAAATCGATTCCGAGAACCTCCAGAGGACCGTTGGTGGCAACATAGGCAGTCTTACCGTCTTTCGACAAAGCGAAGTCGTCACCAAAGGTGATGTTGGTAGTCAGAGTCTCCGCGGGGCCAGTGGCTGTTCCGGTTGTGAGAGAGATGGGGACTCTGCCGAATAGGCCTTGGTCCAAGCTCACGAAATAAAGTTTGTTGCCCCGAATGCGAATCCCGTTGACGGCGACGCCAATGCTGGAATTCGAAGATACTGGAGCCATCTCAGGCTCAGCAAGAACAGTCTCAACGAGCTTGGTGTTTACGTTGAGTCGAAGGACGGTTCCACGGCCAGAGTCGGATATGAGCAGGTTCTGAGTATCATTCTTGGCCAAACGTGCCATGCCGTTGAGTTGAAGAGCGGATGGGACAAGCGTGATGAGAGAAAGCACAGCTGGCTGGAGCACAGTCCCGTTGCGCGAGGTGCGGAATTTACGGAGGTCGACTTTCCACAAGCCGTTCGAGTTTTCGGTTGAGGTCAGATTCGAACCGAGGACGTAGAAAACATCCTTTTCGCCGAGTTCGGTGATTCCGAGGAGACTGTTAACGCCGTCGATGGTGACAACAGGAATCGGCGCATGTTTGGCTTCAGGTGACAGGTCGAAAAGGGTCGGAGAGGCCGTGGAGGTGACTAAGAGGTTTCCATTCTCCCGAACCGCAATGTTCTCGAGTGATCGTGCTCCGGGGACGGACTGCAATGACGTGACCTCACTTGCGTTCCGCCAATCGCAACCAGTAGTAGGGGCCGATGAGGCTGGTGAGAGCAGGAGAGCTGCCAGGCCCAACAACTGGAAACCGACCAGTCGCAATGCCATTATGTTGGTCAATGAAGGATAGGGTGAGAGTAGGGTAGCGAAACGAGCGAGATTATAAGAAAAATGATTAGAATATCCAGTGTGGCGGAGTACCACATTTCAAAGATTCCTGAGCTTCATGAAGTTGGAGATAGCATTACTAATACCGAAGCTGTCAGCGCGAAAAGGAGGTAGTTAATTTGTAAAGTGGATGGCCAAGGCCCACTGCGGAATAGTGACATCAATTAGCTGCTTGTTCATCGATCACGTCAAACCGTGATAACAAGCTCCTTCCCCTTGCAGGCATGATTCGGCCGAGTGGGTTCGGCAATGGTAGTGTACGGATATATCTAGAATCCGGTTTTCAGTAAAGCTGCTGCGGACAGGAATTAGATGGCATATATAATCGCTCTTCAGATTAGTATGAAGCCGAGGGCCAACTACGTTGGAACCTCGAGACAGATAATATGCCGGACTACTGAAAGACATTCATCGACCATGGGGCAGTCCAGGCTGTTCTTGAGTAAAAATATTTGCTCTGTTGCTAGGATGCCGCTTTGCCGATGCTTCAGCAGGTAATATTCCGGCGAAAGTGGTCTTCTCTGACTTAGCGTCTCCGAAGCGACGGGATGTCAGCAGTATTGTTATGCGACTCATGCACTGACCAAGCTTTCAGACCGAGTGCGACTTATACAAAGACTTTGGAGAGTTTACCTCAGCTTACCTACCATCCTTAAATCCAGGACTTCGGAGAAGAATAAATTATTTCCGTGTAAGTAAAAGTTGTTCATTGGCTCGGGCACAGTTTTGGAGTGTTTGGCAAAGTTTCGTGGCGCCATATTGTGGGACGAAGATCATTGGATCCACGTTCTAGTTGTCAGCCAGTCGCATGTTATCGCCGTAACTCCGTAGCCATGTCGTTTTCGCTGCAGTTACGTCACTGTGAATGGACTCACTAACGCATCTTAAATGTCCTCGAAGCCAAGATCTTGTTCTGTTATTGAAGTAGCAGATCATTCATCTTTATGAAATCACGTCAAAAGCAAAGCTACTAATACGACCACAACCAAAATCGATCAAAATGGCTAAGACTTTCCAATTCCAGGACATCCAAGTCAACTCGCCAGGCTTCGGCGCCATGGGCCTGAGTTTCGGCCTGGGAAGCAATCTGAGCTTGGAAGAAGCTGAACCCGTTCTACTTAAGGCAATTGAGCTCGGATGCACATTCTGGGATACAGCAGTAAGTCAATGGCTCTTACGCAGGCCCCTCAACACCACTACGCATGATCTCCATATACACATATGCTTTCCACGAGGCACTAACTTCTTTGCGACTAGGTTGTTTACCAGGCTGGTGTTAACGAGAAGCTTCTCGGCGACTTCATCAGAAAGCACAACGTGCGGGACAAGGTGTTCAGTCAGTGCTTTCGAAGTATTCTCACTTCATTGACTACAACTGACTTTCCTCTTCCAGTCGCTTCCAAGTGTGGATTTGACGTTTTTGGCTCCGGCGGTATCACCAACTCTGCTTCTCACATCAAGCAGTACATCGAGGGCACTATCGAGAGACTTGGTTTCACTCCTGACCTCTACTACCTTCATCGCATTGATCCCAGTAAGCTTCCAAGCCATGGAGGAAGATGAGAGGAAACGTTCACTGACAGGTACCTTACTTAGACACGCCCCTAGAGGAGTCCATTACAGCGCTCGATGAGATCCGCAAGGCGGGCAAGACGAAGTACATCGGTCTTTCTGAGTGCTCAGCGGCCACCCTTCTCAAGGCCAACTCAAGTAAGTCCCACTCTTAGAAGTATTCAGACCCCCCACTAACAATCCGTAGTTGCCAAGATCGATGCGCTCCAAGCCGAGTACTCAGCTTTCGAGACCATCCACGAGACTGACGGTTTGATTGAAGCTGCAAAGGAGCTCGGAGTTGCATACGTGGCTTACAGTCCCCTGGGTCACGGATGGCTCGTTGATGACTTCCAGTACAAGAGCCCAGACGACTTTGCACCCAACGATTTCCGTCGTGGAAGTGAGTTACAACTGGAAACCAGAAACTCTGTCTAACAAACGCTGACAACTCGATGCAAAGGTCCCAAGTTCCAAGGCGAGAACTTCTACAAGAACAAGGCTATTGTTGATGAGATCAAGAAGCTTGCTGTGCGCAAGGGAGTCACCCTGCCTCAGATTGCCCTTGCCTGGGTTACCGCTCAGGGAATGATTCCTATTCCTGGCACAACAAAGGCCAAGAGATTAGAAGAGAACTGGGTATCAAGAGACGTTGTTTTCTCCGACGAGGAGAGGGTGGAGATGCGGAAGATTATCGATGCGGCCAAGCCGCATGGAAACAGATACAACCCAACCCAGCAGGCTATGGTTGGGCACTAAGCTAGATATGCGATATATGAAGCTATGAAAATTCGTTCATGACTGAAAGTACTTTCGAGATTTTCATCGACCGCGTGACCTTCTGATTGTAAGAAACAGTACACATTACCGCCACTGACGACACAAGAAAAACCACATTGAACCTATATGATATAGAAGGTTCTTTGTCGAGCTTTCTCGACCCATTGCTTGTCCCACATGCCAATCTCGAAAAAGCCAACTCTTTGTACCACCGGACCAGACCTCGAATGCCATCGTGAGCTTAGTCCAGCCATGGACTTGTAAGGTGTCTCCAGTAAAACTAGACCAATCTCGACCAAGTTTTCGTTGTTGAACAGACTCTTGGAGTTGCCGAGTCTCAGGCAATATAATTTTGTCTTTGGAAGCTGAGTTGGGCTCGTATCCATGATGATGACGCCGCCGGCCGATGGCTCTGACCGCCTCCCAATTTTGAACGGATTGGTGCTTTGCTTGAACATTGAATAGCACTTAGGAATTCCAGTCACAATAATCGAATCTTTGATGAGATGTTTTTCGGATATCATAGTCTCAACAGTGTAGTTTGTGAGGCCAATAATCCCCCCTTCGAGCTCCCCAAACTCGAAGTCAGTCTTGAGAGAGGTACGGCCGAAGAATGTTTCGAGAGGCGTGTCAGGAACCGACACGTTGTCGAAATTCTTAGAATTCGGATTGAGATATTCCATACCGCCCATTCCGATCACAGTCGGCTTTTGGGAGGAATTTTTGGCGTAAGGGTACCGCACACGACCATCAACTGATATCCATGACCAGGACGGAAGCCACACGGATAGGGGCTCGGGTTGTGTTTCCGGTATAGCATTGAATGTCGTGGAATTCCTGAGGGGCGGGGGCCAGCCTTTGTCTTTCGCTGGTCTATGTGTACCAAGGTCGAAGGACGGCTTCCATGAAAGCCCTCTCGCAAGATCACAAAACCACATTCCAGCTACGTAGCTGCTGAGAGAACGGTCGGGCCGGCGTATGTTTTGCTGAAAGTGCGCTGCTACACCGGCAATCGCGGGAAGTCGATCTTCCGGTTTGCTGAGAGATTTGCCAGAATAAGCCTCGACGACGCGCAGCCAGTCATCTAACCACGGCTGAACCCGCTCGAGGCTATTGTATAGCATTGTTCTGTCGGTTATTCGAGCCCAAGTTACGCGGAAAGGCGGAGCCATGAATCGGGGTTCTGTTCGAGTAAACCAGCTGCTGATCTCAGGGTATGCCTCGGATGCGATGGACGCTCGGCATTCCCAGAGTACTTGACTCTTGGTGAAGTAGATAATTCTTTTCGACAGCTGCCTCTCCTGGAAGCACCAGCCACGGGAGAACAGGGGCCCATTGGTCACCGACTGGGCCCAGTCTGCCATGTAGGGCTGGAAGGTGACTGAGACCTTGGTCTTCACTTCGTTAAAAGTCTTTGTACAGGGCCGTACGTGCATATTTGGGTTGGATCCTCGAGGGAGGAAGCAACCGCCACTCCCATCTTTCGAGTCCGATGCGACGAGAGTGCAGATGGCCATGGAGTAGATAATTTCCATCAGTGGCAGCTCGCGGTCCTTGTCGGCCTTGTCGTCTTGAACTATACACAAAGAATCGATCCAGAGCCACCCAATATTAAGCTCTCTAGCGATCTTGACGGCATGCTGGAACGTTGGAGATAACTCATCGTGACGAAGACCAACACGCATCATCTGCTCCAGATTCGCCTTTGTCGTTTGTGGCACACTTTTGGGATCTCCCCAGCAGTGGCTCAACGCGGTGTAAGAAGGCCCGAAGCCGCCTTCATCTCGCTGCAGACCGGCCGAGAGCACCAGGACAATGTTCTCGCCTTTCTCGCCGACACGCAGCAGTCTTGTAGGCGAAGCAAATTCGTGCTCCAAAACAAGTTCTCCCACGTACGCGCATTTATCGCGGTGCCTTTTTTGGCATTCATCCAGCCAGAAATTCAGAAGCTGAAACACCTTGGGGGAGTCCGCTTGTGCCGCCAAGGGGGAAAAGTGCTTCTCGGCTGGCTCAAAGTCCTTCGTTTGGCTATATAAGTCCCAATTCGTTACGTGCTTCCCCGGTTTCTTGGAAATAGCATCAGAGTGGATATTGAAGCGGAGATGAGTGACGCAATTACCCCAGGTCAGCTTCAAAAGAGGACCAGGCCTTTGATCCGGAGAACTGTTACGAGCGGGAGTAGTAATGTGCTCCTCATCAGGTCTGAGCACTGAGTAATCCGCTACCTTAGGTTGCCAATACCCGGGCCATGAGGTAGTCCATAGGGTCTTGAGTGAAATTCCGTTCTTGTCAATTGTGACTTCAGAGTCGCCTTTCTGCCCTGCCTCAAGGGCATCGAATATCAAGGTACAGAAATGGCACCCTTGTTGAGCCGAAAGCTGGATTCTCGCAGCGGCCCCGTCACCGCTGTAGAATGAATGCGAGATTGTCGAGCCTGGTTCGAACAACTTTCTCGGTAGTTTCAAGCATTCAGTGCATGATCCCTTATGAGACTGGTCATTTGCTCCAGCCATGGGTGATAAACTCAGCTCAGCCATGTGATTAGGCTTGCGTAAGCGGAACTGTCATCGTCTGGTGAATGATCCAAGCGTTCAAGTACGAGGAATAAT